TTCATGTACTTTCCAATTTGAGCAGAGAAAATAGTAGAGATAAAAATATCAAGCTTCTCGCACAGAAGAAACTATTTCAATTTTACTGTAAATCCTCTAAAAAGGAGATTTCTTTATCCAAAATATTTTCAAAAAAGAGCTAATTAACTTAAAAATTGAAAATAAGAAGGGCATTCAAATTATATGTATATAGCATTTATTTCCCCTTTGAAAAAAAAAATACAATTACCACCCTACACTCAAAACAAGTTTCCGTATCTACAATGAGAGGTATAAAGCAAGAAAAAAAAAAAAAGGCGAGACTTTTTTTTATGAAAGGAAGAAAGTGAAGAATGCCTCTTTCTCGAAGTACACGATTAACAATTAAGTGTCGTTATATACGCACACTTGAAAGGCGATGTATACGACTAAGAGGATATGCGCCAACGGTGAGTCGAGAGTATTATGAAATATTCTCGAGGGGATGACTCGAGCGGTCCATTTCGCCAACGTTGGTGGGATGATGGCCTCCTGATAGAGGAAACATGTTACAGCTCACCACTGCGCATACAAAGTATCTGCTTTTCGCTTTCTATAGCTATATATATATGTGTGTGTGTGTGTACTGGACACAAGTCCTGAAATCCTCGACAAAATCAAAAGTACCCAACCAAGAAAATTGACCTAACCCCCCTCATCACTGTGTTTTCAACATTTCAAACTTATCCATTTCGTGACCAAAAGCTTCCGTATTTAACATCCGATAATCAACGCAGCTTTGCGACTAATTTAAACCAACCGCATTGCCTTCCAAAAATTAATTAACAGTAATCACGTTATTTTCAACTAGAATAATTGAATTTATTAAATTCCGGGTGGAATTATTTCACGTTTCTATGCAGTTACGGTATAATTATACTGTTTTATATATATAGCCAATGTATAGTTCAACTATACCTAAACTAGCTAAAAATGTAATGATTAATAAGTTTCTAGATAAATAATCTATATGTAAACTATCGCATCTAAATTATTTTTAAAGATCAGGACAGTTCCACTATCTAGTTTCTGGATACTTAAACTGTATTGAAACTATCTAGTTTCTAGATACTCAAACTATATAGAAACTGTCTAGTTTCTAGATATCCAAACTATATGGAAACTATTTAGTTTCTAGGTACTGAAACTATATGGAAACTATCTAGCACATATAGATACTCAAATTATATAGAAACTGTCTAAATTCTAGATATCCGAACTATATGGAATCTATCTAGTTTTTAGGTACTGAAACTATATGGAAACTATCTGGTTCCCAGATATTCAAACTATATGGAAACTATTTAGTTTATAGGTACTGAAACTATATGGAAACTATCTAGCACATCTAGATACTCAAACTATATAGAAACTGTCTAGTTTCTAGATATCCAAACTATATGGAAGCTATCTAGTTTCTAGATACTGAAACTATATGGAAACTATCTAGCACATCTAGATACTCAAACTATATAGAAACTTTCTAGTTTCTAGATATCCAAACTATATGGAAACTATCTAATTTCTAACTACTGAAACTATATCGAAACTATCTGGTTTCCAGATATTCAAACTATATGGAAACTATTTAGTTTCTAGGTACTGAAACTATATGGAAACTATCTAGCACATCTAGATACTCAAACTATATAGAAACTGTCTAGTTTCTAGATATCCAAACTATATGGAAACTATCTAGTTTCTAGATACTGAAACTATATGGAAACTGTCTGGTTTCCAGATATTTAAACTATATGGAAACTATTTAGTTTCTAGGTACTGAAACTATATGGAAACTATCTAGTTTCTAGATACTCAAACTATATAGAAACTGTCTAGTTTCTAGATATTCAAACTATATGTAAACTATCTAGTTTCTAGATCCTTAAACTAAATGGAAACTATCTAGTTTCTAGATACTCAAACTATATGGAAACTATCTGGAACATCTAGATTATTTAGAATAGCTTTAGAATAATTTTTCTAAACAGTATTTATCTAGTTTCTCAAGGAAAAAAAGTTTTTAATAGCAAAACTATAGAGTTTAGATGGTTTAGACAGTTTAGACAGTCAAAAAAAATTACTTCTCAGATTTGCAATTTTTTAACATAAAATTAGAATTCCTTATTATTATTATTATTATTATTATATCATCTTATTTTACATCAATTGCATTGCCTGCATTTGATGAGAAATATATTGTAAGCTGATTAAATTATTGTATCGCCTGATGGAATAATTACAGCGAAAGCTGTCAATGACAGGACTTCATAGTAATCGAACGCAGTTTAAGTTCCCGTATTGCTCAGTTAAGCGAAAATATTGTTTCCTTCAAATTTGCTTTGTGACATAAATAATAGGATTATTCAATAATAACAGCAGGTCCTTATATAAAATATCTCACAAAAATAGAACCCAAAATAATATAACAAATTTTGGCGACAAGTATTTTCCTTATACAAATTTTTAATATTTTTCAATTATAGAGTTAAAAGAAAAAAAAAAGTATTTTTAAAAATAAAAATTTTATACTCGAAGTTTATTTTTGTGATGATGAAGATGATGATGATAATGATGATTGAAACGATGGAGCATTATTTTGCAATAGAGCTAAATGTGGTATTATTTAATGGAGCTTGGAAGACGTACTCTCGATTTTAATGAATGACGCAATTAAATATTAACGACGTAAGCAACAGCACATTGTTGGCGCATTTACGTGAAGAAAAAAAACGAAAGAGAAGTAAAAAAAAAAGTAAGAAATCCAAGAAAACTCTACGAAAACGGAGAGAAAGAGAGAAAAAAAAAACGTTGAAAGTTTAAATGAAACAATATTCTTTGTTATGAGAGACATTTGAATACATTGCCACTGAGAAATTATTTTTTAACAATGAAGACAAGACTGCTTTCACAATATTTTTTTTCCACCTTTTTCATTTTTATAAGCTTGCCTTTTTAATCGATTTATTTTTTCCTCATTCTTATACAATCGAAGAGAATAAAACTTTAACTTCTTTTAATGAGCTTCAAAACAATTCTATTTGTACCACTTTACACAAACATTATGAGAATAAATTAATATAAATATATATATATATTCATAAATATGCAAATCCGATAATATTTTAATTGATGCAAAAAAAAAAATTATTGAAGGCAGTTAAATTGAGAATTCAATCAATGTACTTTGTTGTGTATAAATTACGGTAGAAAATTTTTGGGATATCGATGTTGTTCAATAGGTATTTATATATGGAGAGCGAGGTAAAAGCTAAAATTTAATCGAGAGTTATAAAGAATTCAAGAACCGGATAACTGGCTGGAAAAAGCGATGAGAGCTCTCCTGTTGACGCATCCAACAATAGAGAATAACGTCATGGACCGGTAGCGATTAAATGATTGCGCGGATAGGTTGCACGGATTTTTCTAAAACCAAGAGGTTTGGGTGCTTTTTTGTAACTAGACTTCATCTTCACTTTATTTTCACTCTACTTTCATTATCCTTTGACTTTACTTACACTACACTTTCATTTTACATTTAATTCACTTTCACTACAATTTCAATCCAAAAGTGAAAGCGAAAGGATAGTGAAATGTAAGTGACACTACGTTCATTTTACTTACAATAAACTTTCATTTTACTTTCACTTCACTTTCACTACACTTTTACTACAATTTTATCCGTTAAGTGAAAGTGAAATGAAAGTGACTCTACTTTTACTTTATTTTCACTACACTTTCACTACATTTTCACTACACTTTCAGTACACTTTCACTACATTTTCAGTACACTTTCACTACACTTTCATTCTCCAAGTGAAAGCGAAATGAAAGTGTAGTGAAAATGTATTGAAAGTATAATGAAAGTGAAGTGAATGTGAAGTGAAAATTAAAGTGAAAGTGGAATGAAAGTATAGTGAAAGTGAAAATGCAGTGAAGATGAAGTCAAGTTACAGAATAGCATTCCTGTAAATTTCTTATCAGGATTTTCGTTCAATGCATAAAGTTTTCTATATCCCATGCATACATTCATGGAGCTTGAAAGTCATAACTTATGGTATTCCACAAAGTGAATGTATATATATATATATGGCGAAAATACTTGCGCGCGAAATCAGTGACGGGTGACTGAGGCACGTACCTCAAGGCACCTATGACGAGAAGTCACTTTGATACGCCCCGCAACTCACAGGGAATTTCATTTTCCACAAGAAAAATCCATTGCCGATGGTCAATGAAAAATTGCCAAATTATGCGATCAACACTGGAACAAAAATTTTTCCTTTTTCTCTCACTAACTAAAAAATTGAAAAATAAAACAAAAATTCCTGCGATCGACGTGCAACATTCTTTGTTCACTCAACTGAAAAATGTCATATTTCATTTTTTGATCTTTTTAAATTTTTCCCCCTATAGCGGAAAAGAATCAAATTTATCATTTGTCATCAAACCTGACAATTTTTGCATATTTTAATATTGAAAATTCTGAAAAATTATAGAGTAATTTTTTTTGAATATTTAAATATTCGTAAATTCAAAAAGATGAAAATAATTATTAAAACCTAATCGAAAATGAATGTGTGTGATATGAAAAATCATAGAGAGATGAGAAAAATCCTTCTTAATATCAGAACAAAAAAAAAATAACAAGCATTGAAAACTGTAAGACAAATCTTGCAGGATTTAGAATTTTCCAGGCTTATAAAAGAATTAATCTTCCTTAAGAACCCATTTGAAATACGAAGCCCAGAGAGAGGGAGAGAGAGATACCGTCCATTCCTGCATTCAGACATCGTTTAGTACTAATATCTGCGCGACCGTTTTCCAACGTAATCCATAAGCAGTGGCGTAGTTACTTCAGGGGGAATAAAATTCCTAATTAACTCAATTTGAAATGAAGCACCGCGCGAACAGATGCCAAGCGCTCAGAGAGACGCAAATTCTCCGCCAGCTTGCTACTTAAATACGATTTTTTGTTTCAGATTGCTGACTGGAGTTTCAAAGTCTCATGGCAGCGCATAAACTTGTAGCACTTCTTGCAGCGATACTACAACTTTGTCTATGTGAGTCTTCTTTTTCTGAATAACAATGAGTTTCTATTTTTTTTTTTACTTACAACCCGAGATTTTTTTTTATCGACATATGTCAGTGAGAAAAAAAATAAAAATTTCTTCACCTTTGTAATATGTTATATATTTATAATATGTTTATATATTATGAATGAATTTGTCTGACTAAAAATATCCTTTACTACTGAGACATATAAAAAGGTATAAAAAGCTGATTTTAAAAATACTCGAAATGTGAATTAATCTTTTGACTAATTAAAATTACTAAAACCATTTTATACTACTGATATCAAAATTTAGAATTTAACACATAAGTCTTGTCTGACTAAACCTGGCATAAACTACTGAGCATTTCCACGAGAAATATTCAAATTCTGACTACAACAAACTTTTACTACTGATTAAAATTCCAAGATTACAAAAATTTTTGTGTTTGCATAAAACTTGCTTTTCTTGTTAAAAATATGATTTTTAATTTGAAAATTGAAATTTTTACATAAACTACCTTCATTTAAAATAAAACTTTTCCCATGACATTAACCATGAGAAAACAATGTCAATAAAATTGATCAATTATAGTTAAATTTTATATGATATTAAATCATTACAAATCTACTTGAAACTTGATAATTTTATAGCTCTATGTGACCAAAGTTTAACCCGAAAACCATTTGTCACCGTAGTATATAGTTATCAAAATATATGGGTGTACCATTCTCACGCACAGGTTATATTTCAGAATTCTGGAGAAAACGAAACTAAATTCACTTTATATATATAATTCAAAAGCTTTTTATCAAAAATTGTTCTCTTACATTACTATTTAAATTATATATATACATCGGAAAAAAACATTCTGAAATTTTGATTTTGGAACATTTTATACTTAAATTCAGTATATAATATTCTTAAAATTAGAATATTTTTTTGGTACTTAGAAACCCGTATATATTCTACAGAATATTCTTTTTCGATGTATTTTTTAAAATTAGAAAAATTTTCCAAGATAAAAATTCATCGATTATACAATGTCATTTTTGATAAAAAAAAAAGTCATCAAGTTTCAAATACTAAAAAATTTTTTGATTTAAAATGAAATATATTTTCATATAAATATATGAAGAACGCTTATGTGACATTCGATTTGAAAACCGGAATTCATTTGCCAGACAATTCTCTTTTTCTCTATTTTTCAATTTTTTTTTGCCTTTGATTCCTTCTTAGAGTGAACCACCACTTTCAGAAACATATATAACCATCCTTCGAGTTTGCTGGAATGGTTAGAACCGAAAAATTCTCGCAGAGTTCCATAAGTCGACCGCTGGCGGATGTCGCAAATTGAAAATCTGTGTCCCTCCTTACACTCTCCCTCTCTATCTCTCTCTATTTCTATCTTTCTTTCGCCTCAATTTTATCTCTTTCGCTTTCTTCACTTCTTTGCTTTGACTTTTTTTTCTCTTTTCTTATTTTTATCACTTCGACCTACGTCGATGTTAGTCAACGAGATCGCGAAAGTTACTTTTACAGGATTCCCGGTGCGGTGTCGAGCAAAACGCGTGTCACTCGCCTTTTATACGGACCCGACGACATGACAAACTTCACAGATTGGCCGTCAATCCGGCTCTTTTTTTTTTTTTTTTTTTCTTTTTTTACTTGCGGACACTATCCTTTACGTTGTGTCGTTTCACCACACCTTTTATAGACGTAATAAAATGTTAAAGGACCAATTATTTTCCAGCATAAAGGCAATATTAAAGTTGTGCTTTACACACTGAATTTTCGCAAAAATAAATGGAAAACTTTTCACTTGGAGAATTTTTAGTGAACATCTAATATTATATACTTTAGTTTGGTTTTAATATTACAGGGGGAAATGTAACATCAATATATAATATATATATATATATTTATATAAACTTGAAATAATTCTGTGAGCATTACAAATTGAAATTTTTGAATTCAAAGTATCCAAAGTTTAAGGCGTATCAAACTAAAAGGTATTTCGAGTTTTATATCCCTTAAGTCATAAAAAGACTAATAAAATTTTGATAAACTTCAGTGTTAGAGGTTTACTATTTCAAAGCATCGAAATTTTATTGCAAGATATGAGCGTTTCTAACAATTGAAAGTAGTGCTTAAGGGTAGAAATACGTCAGAAATATCAAGATTTATAATTTATATTTTTAATTTTTCGAATACTCATTTTCTGAATTCATTTTTCTTAGCTAAAATTTTATTCATTTCTATAACTTGAAATTATTCGAGCTATATTAAATTTGTCAAAAAATATGATAATTCACTCACTAATTTAAATCACAAAAAAAATAATAATAATTACGAGAAAAAAATTCCGCCCTTATAAATTGTACTACTAGAAACAGAATTTATCAAAGTTGTATTTGTAGAGAAAGCAATTATCTTTAATTGTAATTCATTACAGAAATCCAATAATAGAAATTGAAATCCGATTGGAGTATCTGGATATTATATATCTGTATCTATATATATATATATATATTTCCAGAAGTCAAGAGGTCAATCAAACTAGAAACTTTTTCAAGAGAGAAAAAGATTGTACAGCGCGTTTATGATTGTAATTTCTGAATCGTTGAACGTTATGCCACCCCTTCTATATATAGATCTCATCGCAGGCTCAAGATTTATCGAACCCCGATTTTCCCCGCAAATTAAATCTGGTCTTAGATTCTCCCCCTCTCTCTATATATATATATGATTACGAACGTATTTCAAAACCAGATACAAACAACCAAGTCTTTCTATACAATGAGACAGATTTACTGACCCGTGAAAAATTGATTTATAAATCTACTTTCTCTCTCTCACTGCTATATAGATTATCTAACAATCAATTTTATTAGGTGGATTAGGGTCCTAGCTGTTCATTTTTTATGTAAAATAAAAACTCGTAATAAATTCACAGATATACAAAATATATTACAAAAGTCTTTGAGGAATATTCTCACTATTCCACTTTCACAATTTTACTTCCACTTTCACTTCCATTTTCATCATTCTACTTTTATAATTCCATTTCCACTTTCGTAAAAGTCGAACAATGAAAGTGGAAGTGGAATGGTAGATGTTGAAGTGGAATTATGAAAATGGAAGTGAAAGTGAAAGTGAAAGTGGAATGTTGAAAGTGAAAAGATGATAGTGAAAGTGAAAGTAGAATGATAAAAATGGAAGTCGAATAATTAAAGTAATAATGGAATAGGGAAAGTGGAAGAAGAATAATGAAAATGGAAGTGGATAATAAAATAGTGAAAGTGCAATGGGGAAAGTGAAAGTGGAAGAAGAATAATGAAAATGGAAGTGGCTAGTCAAATAGTGAAAGTGCAATGGGGAAAGTGAAAGTGGAAGTAGAATGATGAAAATGGAAGTGGAATAGTGAAAATGAAGCCTAAATAGGGAAAGTGAAAGCGGAAGTAAAATGATGAATATGGAAGTGGAATAGTGAAAGTGAAAGTGAAAGTGAAATGGGGAAAGTGTAAATAAAAGCTATCTGTGATTTAATACAAAGAATAAAAATTAATTAAATTAGATTAAATTAAACAGAATTAATTAAAATTTCCATAAACTTAATTATTATTTCCTATAACGCTATCACTTTTTCCTCACTAAACAAAAGATTTAAAAATTTTGAATTCAATTGTAAGGACTATTTTAATTACAATTAACTACTAATAATGATATTGTTTGTGTATTTGTATAAAACAGATAATTTAGAAAAAAATACAATTAAGTGGTATCAAAAAGAAAAAGAAGAAGAACGATTTCCATCACTTCTAAAAAGCTTCGCCGTTCTTTGTGCGCACAGAACGACCGTCTGCCTAACTAAATCATGGTGGATTTAAGTGGATTCCACAAACCCCTTGGGTCCGACGATGTATTACCAGTTGCAGGGCAGACTTCACATCAGTGGTCTCGCCTAAGAAATCTACCCTAAGCTGATATTCACTGCGCTACCGCAGTACAAATTGATAACCGTACCAAAAATAACTAAATTACTTTCTATATACAATACTATCAATAATAACCATAAGACTCACATTTTAGTTGACACATCACATATATTCCAAATTGAATCTGAAACAAAAAATATTACATTATTTTCACAGAAATTATAATATTCAAATATAAATAGAATTTCTGTGAAGTAAAGAAATGCGTGTTTTACAAATAAGAAAAAATTTTCCTAATCTACAAAATATAAATGATATGAGATAAACTAAACTAATTTTAGAAATTGACAATAATGGATTAGTTTGTTCTTAGAGGAATAAGGACTTTAGAAAATTCGATCAACCACAAGACAAACCAGGAAAGATTGTAAAGCCAAGACTTTAGATATATATATATATATATAAAGACGACTTTCCGAGTCTCACTTAAAAGAAGGTTTGCATCTAACGTTCGTTTCACTTCGATCCTTAGCTAAGCCAAAATCAATAGGTATATGTCCCGATCTGATAAGTAGTTTGAAAGACTTGAAATTCTCAAGAAGCTTCGTGTTTTTACACTAACTTGATTTATATATAAGTAAAGAAAAAATCAAACTGATTTGAAAAGAAATAAGTCCTTATCAATCTCTTTTAATTTAATTCGAAACAAGTGAAAAAATTACAAATTTTCTAAAATTCTTGTTAGTTTTTACTCAAGTAGCAAAAACAAACAGACAGAAATTCATTAGTTTCAGTAGTGAACGTCAATTACAGTCAGACAAAATGACAAAAAAAATTAAATTTTTGCATCAATTAAATTGATTTCATTCTAATGAAACACTCCAAATCATTATATTTTTATTATATCAGTAGTAACCCCGAGTTTCAGTCATACATCAGAACTTCATAAATTTTTATATTATTTCTGTGGATTCAGTAGTGAAAGTCAATTTAAGTCAGACAAAGCGTTTGAAATTCGTGTAATAAAGATATCAGTAGTAAAAGTCAATTTCAGTCAGACACGACATTCTATAAATTTCTCTTATCTTGTTGTACTAGTAGTAACAGTGATTTTCAGTCAGACAAACAAATTTCGAACGCTTTAGTTCATAATAAAAGCAGTTTAAAGAATAATACAAAAAAATAAAAGAACCAAAAATTCAATAAAGTCAAGTAGACTAAAACATTTCTTTGAATTACTCTCCAAATCTGAATTAGTAGAAATTTTAACAAATATAAATTAGTAACTCAATTTTTGTTCTTGAATTAGTAAAATTTAACTAATAGTAAAAAAAATTGTACTGTCGAATTAGTAAAATTTAACTAATTCAAAAGCAGGGAGTCACTAATTCAAATTAATTAAAAAATTTTACTAATTTAAATTTAGAGAGAAAATTTTCCTTTTTGCAATCAGTAGTAAAAGTCAAATTTAAGTCAGACAAAATAAGCTAAATTCGTGTAATAAATACAAAAATCTCTCTTAAAAAAGATAGAATTTTACCATCATTATAATTTTATTCTTCTAAAAATCTGATGTATATATATATACGTGAATAAATATCATCTCTTTAGAACAGAAAAATATAGAGCAGAAAAAGATTGAGGATAAAAGCGGTGAACATTTAGAAATCGCAATTCGTATTCAGAGTGTTGCGTGACAGTTAAATATTATTTAGGGTCCTGTCATTATCGCATCCTCATTTCTCTTCCCATCGAGGCTGCTTTCTCTCTCTCTCTATCTCTCTCATACTCAGGGAAAAAAGATGGACTTTTCCCTCTTGCTTTAAATCCCACTTTACGAAGCGTGATATTTTAGTCTTGAGTAAAAGTGACTATATATATACATGTATATACATATATATGCGTGTATGCATACTTATACTTATGTAGAAAGGATTTTCGCTATTATTCCAAGCACGTAATGCAACTTCCGGCTGTACTGTGTCTCTCCATCTTTCTCCTTTCCTCCCGTCTCCAACCCTCTTCTCTCCCCACTTCGAGCGAACGTTCCAATCTTGAAGGAATTCGCGGAATTTCGAATTTAGCACAGCACTTTCCTGATCTGAAAATCCGCTTGCATATTTTCCCCCCCTTTTCAAACGGGGTAAAAAGTCGACGAAACTTCTCTACCAAGTGCAATTAACAATAATCTTTGTCGAGGTCACAAATATTCTTACTCGCACTCTTTCTCTCTCTCTTTCTACATAGAAATTACTATTTTCACAAATAAGAAAATCTCCCCCCTCCTATATGAAAATTTCAAAACTGTTCTAGAGAATTTTTAGCGAATTTCACTATTTTTAAATATCTCAAAAGAAGAGAAGAATTATTTTTTCTATAATCATTTTTTAAGAGTATAAAATACATGCACTAAAAAAAATTTTTTTTGCTTCAAATAAACTTGACTATTATCAAATAAATATTTACTTAAACGAAATAATTTTTATTTTAATTAAATGGTATTTAAACTAATAATTTCTGTATTTGAAACAAATACTATTTAATTTATTGAAATAATAATTACTTAATACAAATAAATATATTTATTTGACAATAGTCTCACAGAAAATTAAAAGGCATTAAAATAAGCTGCAACGCTTATTATTTTAATCCAAGTTTGCTTATTTTAATACCAAAATGGATTAAAATAAGCAAAATTGGATTAAAATAATAAGCGTTGCAGCTTATTTTAATGCCTTTTAATTTTCTGTGCTAGTAATCGATTATTTGAATTAAATAATTTTTTTTTCAGTGCAGTATAACAAAATAAAATTCTGAAATTTAGAATATATACTTAAATTCAGTATGTAATATTCTTATAATTAGAATATATTCTTGGTACTTATACTGAAAAAATTATATTTTAAATTTAAGAATATTTTCTTGGCAGAGAAATGTTTTATTTGAAACAAATATAATATATTTGAGTTAAATAAACGTATATTTGTCTCAGAATCTACAAGCTCATTTATTTGGCGTAAATAAATTTTTTTTATTTAAAACAAATAAAAATTCGTTTAAATCAAATAAAAATTTATTTAAATCAAATAAATATTTATTTGGCTCTGAGACAAATATATCATTTATATTCTAAATTTAAGAATGTTTTTTTTCAGTGATATAAATAATATATTGAACAAGAAGAATGAAAAGAAAAAATGTTTTTTTCTATCAGTGAAATGAATAGAGATGAAGACCATTTCTACTTTCTCTCCTCCTTGTGAGAGCAGCTATAAAACTTTTAAAATTGGCCCCTTTTTGTTGGATTAGGATTGCGCCTGAAGAATTTTTCCATTTATCGCTCCTTTTGCATGAACGCATACAAGAATTCAATACGCGAATATGGGTAACTTGGAGAACATCCACCCCGTTGAATATCTAATCGACCGCTGTGCGTTCATGCATTTAAGGTATTGTCACCTAAGATTAAACAATACGAGTATAGAATTTCGTAACTAAGTTATACGAGACGAGAAATCGATTATTATTGTTAGATTCCCCGCAACAATAATCACACACACACACACACACACACACACGTACTTGCAAGAGCAAACTTCGATGTCATACATTCAACCAAATATTATATTTAATCAAAACTAAAATATCCCATTCTCCAATTATTATATATTTTTTCACAAAATTTAAAAATAAATTTTTTAAATATATAATATTTTTAAATTAAAAATATTTTTTTAAACAAAGAATATTTTGAAAAAACAATTTTGAATAAATTAAAAAATATCAACAATCAATAACAATGAAATATTATTTTTCAGGCCAAATTACCCCAGCAGTAATGCCCGAATTTTTATTTCCCCTGGAAAATCAAACTGTGATTCAAGGACGCGATATTGTTTTTACTTGTGTTGTCGAACATCTCCAGGGGTTCAAGGTACAAAAATTCTTTGAAAATTTTAATTTAAACAACATTAATTTTATAAATTATTAATAAATTATTTATAAATTACTTTTAAATTATTTCTATAAATTATTGATAATAAAAAAATATTTTAAATGGTAAAATTTAATTTTTATAGGTAGCTTGGATAAAATCCGATTCACGAGCAATTCTCGCAATACACACGCACATGGTTGCTCAAAATCCACGACTTTCAGTGACACACAATGGTCACAACACATGGAAACTTCATGTATCAAATGTGAATCAAAATGATTCTGGTACTTACATGTGTCAAGTTAACACCGAACCCATGCGCAGTCAGGTATGAAACGTTCAATTTTTTTTTTTTTATTATTAAATATTAATAAAGAGAAAAAATTAAATATTCATAAAGATGTAAAGTGCAGAGAAAAAACTAAAAAAAAAATCTACTAAAAAATAATTCAACGATATATAACGTCAATCAGTTATTCTTTTTTCTCCACTTTGTCTGATATGAATATTTCATAAATTAATTATCAGAAAAATTGCAACATAACGATTATTACAGTGTGGAAAAACAAATTATTTAATTCAAATAATCGGTTACTTGACTACTAAATATTTAATTAAACCAAATAATTTTTATTTCAATTAAATGAACAAATATTGAATACTTTAAATAAATTTTAAATAGAAAAAAAAATATTTTTAATAAAAGAAAAATATATAAAAATAATGCAATCCATTTAATCGGAAAAGCAAATAAAAATTCAGGTAATTAAATTAAAGCAAAATCTATTTCACAAGGGGGAATGTGGAAAAATTCACTATATAGAGGTTTATATAGAAAAAAATCGATCACTAAAAGCCTATAAGATGGACCCCTTGGAAATTCCTTACAACAAAATGAACTCAACCGTGATATCTATGGATAAAAAAAAGAACGAACAAGAGGGAAAAAGGTTAACGTCAACGAGTTTCACATCCAAAAAAAGTCACGTGTTCTAATAGCCCTAAAAATCGACCCTCTTGCCAAAAGAATAAAAAGATTGTTTCGATTTCACCATGTCAAATCTTACACCGACTACACCATATGAATAGAGATTGACATTTCACAAATTGAGTTTAAAAATGTCTATCATCAGAAAATTCGTCTTCGATTAAAATGCACATCAGTGGAAAATTAACTTTTTTTTTATCTGGTATACACGGCAAAAATATATTTATTTTATTCAAATAATTTGACTATTATCGAATAAATATTTATTTTTATTAAATAATTATTATTATTTGAACCAATTAAATGGTATTTGATTCAAATATACAGAAATTATTGGTTTAAATATATACAATTTATTTAATTCAAAAATAAAAATTATTTGATTCAAGTAAATATTTATTTGATAATAGTCAAGTAACCGACGCATTTATTTGGTGTAAATAAAATATTTATTTGTCAAATAATAAAATTTTTATTTAAATCAAAATTTATTTACAATAAATAAATATTTATTTGACTCCGACATAAATTTATCTTTTAGGTGGATTACTTGAACCAAATATATTTTTTTCAGAGTGGGTATATACGAAAATAAAATTCTATTTTATCATTTATCCAATTTACTAAAATGGTTTCTTAAAATTTTCTTTTTTAAATACCGCGCAAAATCTATAAATTATCATAAATATTACCTTTAATGCAAAAGAAGAAAAAAAGGGCCAAAGGGAAATATTGAAATATCATTTCGATTTTCATTTCCCTACCTCTAAGAATATAGTGCACTGTTGTGTTCTCTGCAGAGCAAGTCGCATTGAATTGTAATTTACATACGTGAAACATGCACGAGCTTTTGTGGTAATAGTGACTTCATATTCAGTGTTCAACTAACTTACACATGTTTCTTTATATACTATCTTTCTCTCTCTCTATATATATATATATACATATATGAGAATATTATTTCACATCTATATAGAAGTCTATCTTTATGCATATACGTGCAGTATTCTCAAAAGATCGACAAGAGCCTTGCAATTTCTAGTAATATTCTTTGGAATGGACCTTAACCATCTCCGCAACCTGATTGTCCTACTCTGGGACCAATTCTAAATCATAATCTATCCCACATATAATATCGATTTGTCTTATCCTAAAGAACACTTTGGATGCCAATTTTCAAGAAAATGCTTTTCTATATCCACTCAATGGTAACTATTATGTGGAATCTATATTTAATTTCAAATAATGGTCACTCTCCGAGGATACAATTTTTTTTTATATATATCAGAAATGTGTGACATTATTAAGGATATGTATATAAAATGCTTTTCTGATGTTATATAAAATGCAATAAGAGAAATAATTTCCATTGGAATTCTCTCGTGCAATATATATATTAAATAATAATAACAAATCTCTAATTAACCTTTTGCTTAAAATTGCATCATTCTCCCTTTGTGATAATTAGCACATTAATTAACTCATTTTCGAGTTTGAGAATTTAATGAGTGTTTCTATTCTAATTGACACAAATCCTAACTTTTCTCTCTCCTTCTCTTTAAAAAAGAATTTTAAATATCTATACTAATTTCGATATAACAATTACTATTATTATTTTTTTTTTTCGCAAATGCTTTGTACAAGAGATCAAAGCACATTCTTTTGTTAATTGTTTTTCCCTCCCCTTTCTATTTCAAATAATGTAATTGCAATTTTCTTTTTCAAGATGGGTTACGTGAATGTCGTGATTCCACCCGATATAATGGACGATCGTTCATCGGATGGTTTGGTAGCTCGCGAAGGTGGAAATATCAGACTGAAATGCGTAGCAACAGGTACACCTGAACCCACTGTCACTTGGAAACGAGAAGACGGTCGTTCCATATCGATACGTGAAAATGGATCAAAAAAGGGTAAGATAAAATAATTTTCTATTACAACAATTTAATTCCAAATTATTTTGCTTGATAATTTTTTTTCAAACTGTGTCAATTAATGTTGATTAAAAATTTATTTTAAATAGATATTTTTTTTAGAAAGTAATAATTTTAAAAAAGATCAAGACCCTCTATTATTATTTGAATAAATTTCCCTCAAAATATATATATACGACATCGCCTAACAGAAATAAATTACTTACATTCTCATTACTTACTCGTCTATTTAATAGCTCAAAGTAATGAAGTAGTAAATTTACTAACTACTTACAAAGTTCTATATTTCTAAATTATAGAGAGTTTATCCTGAAAGCATTCTCAGATCAAAGTTTCAAAGTTAACAGTTAACATATTTAAAACACATAATGTAACACACAATAGAATTGCAGAAAAAAAAATGCTAAACTTAATTTTAAAAAAATTATTAATTTAAAAAATTAATTAAAAAAAGAAATTATATTTCCGTCTAGGAACTGACTAAATTTTCCTAGGATTAATTTTAAAGTGTTATAACGAAAATGTCTATATATATATATATATATATATATATATATATATATATATATATATGCAAAGGGACACATGCATGTAATGCATTCTAAATCTCAGTATAACAATCTGGCAGACGTACGGAACTTGCTACACACACAAATATATAGGTTGGTACAGCACAGCAGTTCCTTGAAATTACCTACGATTCGACTTCCGGTCCCGGATGCTTCCATATCGCGCTTTTGCCGGACATCTCGAATTTACAATCGGTTTCATCCTATCCCCACACACACATGTTACTCCTCTCTCTCTCTCTCTCTCTCTCTCTCACTGTTGAATTTCAATGAATTTATGCGACTTTTCATCGAATTCGATGCCACTTTAATCATACGACAAACGAGTATTTTCACCATTAGAAAATTACATTTTCGAAAATTTCTTCCCACACATAATTTACAGTTCAATCAAAAAATTACCAATTTAATTTGATAATTCAAAATCGAGTCGAAATTATACCAAATTTCGATTCTTATTGTCAGTATAATTAACAGAATGATTTCTTTCTCTACTCTCTAAATTTGAATTAGTTCAATTTTACTAATTCAAAAGCAAAAAGTGACTTTTTTTATAGTAACTTTTACTATACTTTAATAGTAAAACCTAAATTGTCCGGAGTTTCTGTACATTTCTGGTAATTTTTACTTCAGAAATAGTAAAATTTACTATTTCCAGAGTAATTTTTACTATTTCAGAAGTAAATTTCACTATTTTCGGAGTAAAAATTACCAAAAGTGCGCAAAAACTCCGGACAATTTAGGTTTTACTTTTAAAGTAGTAAAAATTACTTTATTCGTTTTTCTATTTTTCTCCGTGTAGAAAACTAATAATTCATTTAGTAAGGCTACTAATTTATTTAGTAAATTTTAATAAATAAATTAGTAGATTTCTCTTATCAATTAGTAATTTTTGACTAAAAATTAGTTACTAATTCATGTAATGAACGAATCGGTGCAATTGAATCAGTCAAGTAACTAATTCAGATTTAGAGAGTAAAACGATAATCAAGAAATAAAAAATCTGATTTTAATAAGAATTTATCTATGAATCAGTATTAAAGAAAGATAATCAATCGAGAAATGACGTCTTCTGAGTAAGGGGAACAAAGACCCTCATAAGAATGTCGATCCCCCTATAAACATCAATTTATCAAGCATCTTTGAGTAGAAATCAAAATCTACAGCCCTATATAATCCATAATTTTTCACTTTTATTTATATGACAGCTCCATCATTCCCAAATAATCTTCAAAAATCTGAATTCAATTGAATCTTTCTTCTCAAAAAAAAAAAAATCTACAGCCACCTCATCATTCAAAGTTAAAAGTTTCAATTTCCATCATCATATATAGAAATCCCCCCTCTAGTATCTATAGTTTTTAGCGTGTTTTGCGCTTTTCTTCTCGATTGAGTCCAACAGGATTTCCTCGGTCGTAAAAAAGATTGGTATCCCTCTCCTCGACAAGGGGACTCGTTAATGCAATTCCAAGGCAGCCAATCCGGCACGGCGAGTCGACGCCTCGGGAAGATTTCAAGTCGATTCGTAACTGCGAAAGGATAACGAAGAGAAAAAAAAACGAGAGAGAGAGAAAGACTTCCGTCATTGGAAGGCAAGAGGATCATAAACCTTCGAAGAGCCCTTCATGCGTCTCTTCAACTGCATGCTATGAAAAAACGATAATAAAGAAAGAAGAAAAAAATTGTACCTTTTCCAAAAAAATCGATTAGATGCTAAATAGATTCAGTCCACTGAAAATTGGAATATTAATAAAAATACGAAACGAAAAAAAAATTATTTCAAATGATTTTCAGTGGAGTGATCCTATAATGTTCAATTTGTGGTTTTTTTTTTAATTAATTATAAATTTCCTACTTTTTTAGTCACAGCTTTTTCGAAATACGAAGGAGAAATTCTGGAATTATCTGGGGTCAGTCGACAAGAAATGGGAAACTATCTCTGCATAGCTAGCAATGGCGTACCACCTTCGGTCAGCAAACGTTATTCCGTTCAGGTTCAATGTACGTACCTTGTTTCAACTGAAACTAGTCCGTGAAAGTTATGCTTGTTAAATCTAATCTGTAACTACTCAAGGGATAATCTCATTGTTTGATTCAGTCGATCCTTTCACGGATTTTCCTTTGATCTTTTAGAAATACTATTTTAAAAAGAGTCTCATTTTCTTTTACTGATATTTAAATAGAAAAAAAAATTCTTTTTTTTTTTAGTTCAACCCGTTAGCAAAGTTTCAAATCAACTTGTCGCAGCACCTTTAAATAGTGATGTAACCCTCCAATGTTACGTGGAAGCATCACCACAAACAATGAACACGTGGTACAGAAATATTAGTAAGTTAAAAATCATATTTATTTTAATAATTACTAGCGATGTATTCCTCGCTCGCTCAATTAAAATTGTACTTATTGTTGTTTACTTATTGTAGTTTATGTATATTATATATATAATTTATGTTTTAAATTAATATCTTATTAATATTGTATAAAATTTATCTTAAAATTAAAAAAAGATGTTACATAAAAATAGTTTGTAAGATTTTCTAAAAGCATATATGCAAAGTATTTTGATTTATTTGAAAATAATTGAAAATAGACTTTTCAAGGACGGTGTCGAGGTCACGGGGTCAGTGTCGTTTTTCGAAATTTGTTAATTTAATATAATAGAAGATGTTTCGTTTTAAATTAAGAAATGTTAAAATTATTAAGTTAAAAACATTTGATTTTAATGACACTTAAAATTAGACACAATATTATAGGTTACTAACTAAAAATCGAAAAAACAACAATAAATAATAAAAAATAATAATAAAAAATTGAAAAAATCAAAAAATTCTTAAAAAAATTGCAAAATAACCCTTTTTCGGGATAAAATTGCAAAATAACCCTTTTTCGGGTTAAAATTGAAAAATAACCCTTTTTCGGGTTAAAATTGAAAAAAGATGTTACATAAAAATAGTTTGTAAGATTTTCTAAAAGCATATATGCAAAGTATTTTGATTTATTTGAAAATAATTGAAAATAGATTTTTCAAGGACGGTGTCGAGGTCACGGGGTCGGTGTCGTTTTTCGAAATTTGTTAACTTAATATAATAGAAGATTTTTCAAAATCAACATTTTGTTTTAACTTTTCTAAATTTCGAAAATTATACGAGAAATTCGAAACATTTTGAAATAGTTAAATTATATACATATATATTTCATTGAAACTTTGAATTATCGTGATTTAGTCACGGTTAACAATTATGCACAATAGATACTTAATAATGCGGCACTAATAAACTAAACTATAATTTCAATAAATGTTTCATCTCATATATTCCATAACTATTCAAATGCATCAAATTGTTTGAATACTCAAAATCATATAAATCCCTTAATTAATTATTTATAGAAACAATATATAATATTCTGAAAATTTTTATCTTTAAAAAAAAAAGTTGAATTTTTTATAAATTCATTTAGATTTTATAAATTTTAAATTAGATTCTTTTATTGGAGTATCATTTATTACTCTCTTAAAAGCTCGAGAAAAAAAAATTAACTAGAGAGACAGAGAGGAGAAAAAAATTCTTTTTTTTTTTTTAAATTTGTTACTGTACTGAAGGAAAGAATTCTGCTCTTTTGTAACAGGTGAAAAATTACTTCCGAGCGATAAGTACACGATGACGGAGCACGCTCTGACCGACTATTCTTGGCAAATGAACCTGACAGTTCACAACTTGGAGAAAAAAGACTTTGGAGGGTACATCTGTTCTTCTGTCAACGCTCTTGGTAACGCTGAAGGCATTGTTCGACTTCAAGGTATATTATTTGACTTTTCATTTTTCCAACACAAATATCAAAAAATAAATAAATTTTAATCTTTTTCTCAAAAAAAATTTTTTTTGGAACGATTTTTTATTTATTGCTTCTATATTCTTATGAAAATAAATCTAATTTTTTAGAATTGCATTTATTGCCAAAAACCACACCAATAACTGTTCAAAAACACATGGAAATGAAACCAAAGAAGAAACTAATAAATAGAGGCAAGACTAAAAAGAAAAATCATAATTCTTATCATAATGGTGAAATTGATGAAATTGAATCGGGATTAGGCAATGATGATAATTTTGGAACAACACAAATTATGGCTGGCAGTACACAAGAAGGTCAAAGAACAGAAAGACCATTAATAGCACCTTCCTTATCACCACCTTGGGTTCTTATGAATACAGCAAACAATAGACAAAGTTTCTTATCTCAATTTTTATTTCTTATTTTACTTCACATGATGACGCTCTAAAAATTATAGAAGGGAAAAAAATATATATATATATATATACATCAGACGAGAGATGAATTTGTGTCAATGGAATTTCAAAAATTGCAACAATGATGCAACTATGACACAAAATCCCTATAGATTTCGTCAAAAAAAAAAAAAAAAACTACTGTAAATATCGTCGGGTCGAAATTATATAATAGAAATTAAGAGAAATGAAAAAAAAAATTGTTACATAAATCGTTAAAGCGTGTAAATGCGCCCTGCTAGAATTACGATTAGAATTTTGCGAGATGCGCGATCAGGGATTACTGTCATGTAATTATTATGATGAATATAGTGGATATAGTCACTATAAGAATGAGAGAAAGAGATACGGTTCCGAATCAAATAAGTCTTCCTTTAAGTTGATAAATGATGGAAGTCAATCATAAAAGAACAGACGTTGATTTTTTTGTTTTCATACAAATTTTTTTTTGATTCTATTTCAAATTTTTAAAATTAAACTCCTAAATTATTATTTACAAAGACCAAAATTTTTTTACAAAATTATTTCATATTTTAGAATTTTCTTCTATATATAAATTAAAAAAATTTAATGTAAATTAAAAATAAATTTAAAAATTGTATATAAAAACCTTTATAATTTTAATTTGCATTGAAATAATTTATTTGCCTTGCAAATTTTTATTTTCAGAGAATTAGATTAATTAACTAGTATCGGATTTTAACTGTAAAAATAATTAAAAATTTATATGGACTTTAATTCATATTTAGAGTGTATTGTACTCTAAATATATAATAATAAGTCAGGTGTCAACGCTTTAAAACTTTATATATAAACGCCCTGTTTATTAAATTACCGGGTACTATATTTAAATCCAGATAACTATTTAAAGAAATGTTACTTGTAAGGAAATTTTGTAAATAAGTAGAATATTATTTATTAAAAGTAAATATAAATATTATATATATATAAGGAACAGAAAAATATGTTTAAAAAAAAAATTGAAAGAACCTAATCTGTGAAAAATAATTAGATTTTGTAAATAAATCAAGAATAAACTAATTAATAAAATTAATTAATTATCATTAATTAATATTATTATGCAAATTCAATGTTGAGTAGTCTAGAGTCTGTTCCCTTTAAAAAATTGAAATTTATTTTAGAGAATTTATACATAAAAAATAATTACAAGTTTTATTCATAATATACTCCAGATTATTGAATTTATAATTAATAAAAAAAAATTTATAAAAAAAAATTAGAAACTTGTAATAAGTTTCAACAAAATAAAAGTACAACCAATTTAAAGCTAAATTTCATATGTAAGCAATTTAAATACCTACAGTTATTGTTTATTTCTAGCATCGCGAGAAATATCTATACATATATATATATTTTCAAGCAACAGGTGTGAAATTACAGGTAGCAAAGCTATAAAAGTTTTTAAAATTTTAACTCTTTTTTTACAATCTTTTTTTAACTTCCTTTTAAATTCATATTTTTAAAATTCATAACTGAAAAATTAATAGTATTATTTCGCGAAATATGTAACATTTTTATTTAATTCTATAATAGTTATTTAAAGCATTGACCCTTTTTAATTTTACTAACCTACATAATATTAAATGTAATTTCATTCAATTTCACCGATATAATATTAAAAGTTAAATAAAAAAAAAATTCTCAAAATATATTTGCAAATTTTTAAAGCAGAAAAATTTTCAATTTTCTGCATAATATCACAAAAGGCAATCCTGATAGTTCGGATAAACGTGGTTTTCCTAAATGTACAGGCATTTAAAAAAAAAATGTTAAAAAATGTATAGAAATAATTCCTGATAACTTTAAAATCTTTTTACATTTGATTAATAAAATTAATCAATTTTTTTAAATTACATCAATAATTATTGTAAATAAGAATTTAAAAGATTCTAATAATTTTTAATAAGTAGACACTTTTTTTAGAAACTTTAATATTAATTAAATTTATAAATATTATTTAAAATAAATAATTAGTTTTTAATAAAAAAAAAAAATACTTTTCCAATTATAAAAATTTTTTAAATATCTACTTACAAAGAAAATAATAGACAAAATTTTTATTTTCAAATAAATAGTCCATTATTTTACATCATATCATATTATAATAAAATTATATGTAAAAACAAAATTTAACTGAAGAATTTTTCTATATTTACAAAAACTTAATTAAAAAGGAAGGGGAATGGAAACAATTCCATTTACTCATTTCTCAGCAAATAACTTTTTAAATTTACTTCTGTTGTAAAAATAAAGGATTATTAAGCATTTAAAAAAAAAAAAAAAAAATCTCAACATCTGTCTTTTATGGCTGACCATCATAATTAAAATAGGTACTTGCTCGTTTGCAATAATGCTCGAGTCAGAACTGCGACAATAAATATCATAAACAGACCCCAACTGTTATTATAAGAATTTTATTCGACTTCACGATATTACTTGAAAGAAAAAAAAATCGCTCGTTAATGTATTTTTAATCGACTTAATTCTTTATTGAGAAAAAAATATTTCAAAAAATTCAAAAATTATTTCTTTGTAATAGAATTTTCATTCTAAAGAAGCAATATTTTCCAAAATTTATAAATTTTTTCAAATTATGATGAATATTATATAATTTTTTAATTTGACTCAATTTTTGTGCAATATATTATATATATTTAATATTGTAAATAATTAACTTTATAATGAACGGAAGTAGGCCTAGACGGAAATGAAAAGTATGAATGTTAAATAAATTTTGTGTTTAATATTTATTTGATAGAATTTAATAAGTTATGCAAATGAGGTGCATTTAAATTTCTTATTTTCCTAATAATGTTCAAATCATTTTTATTCGAATAAAAGAAAATTAAATTTTTACTAAAAAAGCTAAATCGAACATTATGGAAAAGTATCTATTTATACAACTCAGAAAAAATTTCTATATAAAGTTAAAAAAAATTGATTCAAAGAAAACAAAATTTTTCTGATTCAAAATAATAAATAATTTTTTAAATTTAAATAGAATATTTTTCTGAGTGCAGGCACCATGTAGAAAACATTTTTGCCTAAGAAACTTTCTTTTTTCAATAAAAGACTATATATTTTAATAAAATTCTATATATCAGTTTTTAAATATATTAATTTAAAAAAATAATTTAATTTAATAATTTCTAAATTATATCAACTTTCGTCAAGATTAACTAAGAGCCATATCTGAATTTTTTCAATTTTTCTTTGGACATAATTTTTATTTTCAAAAAAGTCGAATTGAAAAAAATAAACAGATTTTAATGTTTTCTCATTTTCAATTTTGGAAAAAATTAATCTGCATAAAATCTCCTTTTCTCAATTAAATTTTGTTAAAATTAAAAATAATGTCAAACGAAAAAAAAAATTCATTTGCAGATTTTTGTATGTAAAAAAAAAAATATGCATCGCAACGACACATATGATCTGCATAGGACCACATTTTACGTATGTACATACACCCAACTCTGAACTGGCTAAAAAAAAAAATTGTGTAAATATAGCCAGTGATGAGTGTGAAAAATTCGTTTACTATTGTAATCAATTGATTGTACACTCACGAAATTGTAATACAGAAACAATAGATTTTATATGCGATATAAAAGACTCGATATTGAACTAAAAAAAAAAAAAAAAACCATCATCAAAAGCAATTTAAAAGAAGAAGCAAAAATTTTATTCGATATTCTATTAAGAATATGCGGTATAAAAAAAAATTAATTCGAACAAAATTCTAAAGGAATATGTAACTTATAATCTGTATGCAAAATATTTGCCTAATAATTGATACATTCCTCAATAATACAACGAATAATAAAATTGCAGACAATCCAAAATTTAATTAAAAAAAAAATAATATAATTTATAATTCAAGAAAATTTTGAAAATAATTTAATATTGTGATTACATAAAATTTTAATTCATTTCAATTAAATAGAGATCTGATAGGGAAGAATTACTATTTTCAAAAATTCATTAGTACGAATTTTAAGTGGATCGAATTTTATATAAATTTTTTTTTTTCAATATAATTCAATCTATTCAAAAATTCAAATTAAAGAATTTTTGGAAAAAATGGACTGAAAATTTAAAATTGTTAACTAAAAATTAAATCTCTTTTATTATTAAATTTATCGAATAATTTATTATTTGTTAAAAGAAAAAAAAATTGCATTTAAAATTTCCATTGGAATTTTAAAACAAAGATTAAAAAATTGGCTCTCACATTAATTAAAGAAAAAAAAGTCGTTTATAACCTTTTAATAAATTATAATGCCCATTGCAAATAATTATTCTTGGAAATTGTCAAAGTAATTGAACGCACAATTTCCTGTTAAAGGGTAACAATTCATAATAAAAAAAAAAAAAAGAAAAAAAATAATTTATGAAGTGGCAGGCAGTGTACTATATTAACTCCAGACAATAAAATGTTATTATCGATGTTAAACCAATTATTATATACATTTATAAAAGCTTCCCTCCTTTTCTTTGATAATAAAAAAAACATTCCTCTAATTTTTTTTTTTTTTTGATTTAATAAAAATATTTCTCAAAGAAAAAAATTATATACAAAATATATACATAATCTGTAGATAATGTTTTTAAAATATATTCTTCGTTTTTATTCAAGTTTCATTTCTTGTTAATGGTTTTAATTTTCATTTTAGTTTTACTTCTTTTTTTATTTTTCTTCCAATTTTATCATTGATCTTCGTTTCTTTTTCTAAAGAATCTTTTAATTTTTCAATGTGACTATTGTACTCGATTTTTTCAGCTAAAGATGTAAAATCCTTTTCCTTGATCTTGGGAACAATTCTTTTAGCTGTTGTGAATAATTTTTTAAAAATTGGAATCTGCCTTGATATAAGAAGAAAAACAGCAGTGCCTGGAACTCCAGCTCGTCCAGTTCTACCTGCTCTGTGAATAAAAGCCCTCATGTGCTTTGGTGGATCGTAAGAAATGACTAATTTTATTCCCGGAATGTCGACACCACGTGCCAAAACATCAGAGCAAATCAATCTAAAAAAAATAAATATTTAATTATTTTTGATTAAAAAAAAAAAAATTATTTACTTAAAATTTTCTCAAATAAATTCAATTATCAAATTTAAAAAATTTTAATTAAAATTCAGAAACTTCTTACATTCGTGTTTCTCCTTTGAGAAACTTTTGATAAGCTTGCTCTCTATTTTTCGAATTCATTTGACCCGATAATTCTGCAATTGTTAAATTTTGATCACTCAAAAGTGATTTTATCAATAATGTGAGACGATGTGCTGCATTACAGGAATTTGTGAAAATAAGCGTTTTCTCCTCTGTGTGATCAATTTTTTTCAAAAGATTATAAACAGCAAGTGGTTTATATTCTTCAGCGCATTGAACTGCTTTTATTGTCAATTCATTTGGACTCGTAAATCGTCCAACGTCACCCTCTTCTTTTATTTCATTGTTAACAAATTCCTTATCCAAATTCACATCATCGTCACGACTTTTCACTATCGCTGTCGTATATAAAATAGGATGAAACAATCCTAATCTACTTAGCTTCTCAGGATCTTGTGATAAAGTTGCACTGAAAAGCAACTTTTGTGCTGGAATTGGACTACAACAAAAAAATATTAGTCAATAAAATGAATAAACTAAAATTATTCGAAAATTATAAAAATATAAATGGAAAATAATATTTAAATTCCTGTAATTATAGAAATTTTAATATTATATTTTTAATTAATTAAAACTACACCCAGAGAAGAGATCCCAGAACCAAATAAATATTTATTTGATTTAAATAAACAATTTATTAGCGCTAAATAAATTTTCTTTTATCCAAAACAAATAAAAAGTTAAAAATATATTTTTATTTGTCTCATATAAACGGAAATAAAAGATTTCTCTGGGTGTGATTAATGAAAAAAAATTTAATTCAGAAAAGAAAAATTAAGAAAATTTAAAATATAAAAAATATTGATTATATTATACGCACTTATTTAGCATATTATTGAGCGTAAGAGTTGGAGCTTTGGAATGAGGTGCTGGAAGTTCTTGAAGCCAATCAAAAGTTTCCCGATCAGCTTCATCAATAACTAAAAATTGTAAATCATTCAAAGAAAATCCAACCGTTTTGTGAATATGGTCTATTAAACGACGCGGTGTCGCTACTAGAATATCAATTCTACTGGTAAAATTTCCTTTACTATCTGAAAAGAGAAAATATAAATTATTTATTTAATTATTAGAGAATTATTTTCAAAATATTTTCAAATTTTTATTTCACATTTTACATAATTATTTGCAATTTATTTTAATCTGTGAAATACCTGTAAAAATAAGGGCTTCCTGTTCTTTTTCAAAAGAGGCAGCTCCAGAAACAAGACCAACTTTCAAACGAGTGTGTTCGAATGATAAATTATTCACATACTTTTCAATAACTTTAAATACTTGCAATGCCAATTCCTGCACAGGTAATACAATTAGACAATGAATTTTTCTTATAAATCGTGTTCTCAATATTTCCACTATTGGCAAAACGTAAGCCAATGTTTTACCTGAATAAAAGGAAAAAGTTAATAAAGTACATTTCACAGAATATTTTAAATAAAATTTTATTTTCTAATCATTAAATAATTACCACTTCCTGTAGGTGCAGAAACACAAGTGTCTCTTGACCAGAGACCCTTTTTTCTATTTTCATTGCATTGCAATAGCCAAGACAATAATCGCTCTTGAACTGGAAAAAGTTTTGTGAATCCTTGACTCTTGAGATTTTCAATTATCTTTAAATCCAATTTTCCTTTTTCAACAATTTCATCCAATGATGGACCACTATTTAAATTAGAAGAAACAACTTCTGGATTTGCCAACCAATCTGGTAAAACTCTTTTAACTGTTTCACTTTTCGCTTGTTTACCAGCTTTTAAAATTGTAAAATTCTTACTCACATCTTCTAAAGTACCATTTGATTTATCAAGATTGTTTTCCAAATTAGTCGATTCTTCATTGATATTCTCATTTTTATCTTTATTTTTCTTTTTCTTTTTCTTAATTGATTTTGACAATTGAATTTCAGTTTCATTTGATTCAGGATTTCCTTCGTCGTTTACTTCAATCATTGAATCGTCCACTTCCATTTTTAAATCATTAAAATCTGGCATCAAATTGTTAATTATTTGATCAATATCATTGGTTCGTTTTTTCTTTTTTTTCTTAGATAATTTCCCAGTTTCTGTACTTTCAGCCAATCCATTTGAGTGTAAATTTGTCATCTCTTGTGAAACATCTTCTTTTTTATCTACTTCCATTAAAGAATCTTCCTTCTTATGACTAGCTTTCTTCTTTTTAGGAACGTCACTTGAAAAATCTTCATGTTTTTCAATGGAATCTTCATGAATTAGAGATCCATTTAATCCAGAATCATTTTTATCTTTCTTCTTTTTTTTCTTTTTCTTTGGAGTCTTTTCTGATTCATCGGGAAGAATCTTGGAAGTTTCTAATTCCATTTCTCGTTTTCGTTCTTCGATTTTTGCTTTTAAAGCTTGAAGATGATTTTCCTCTGAAACTGTCTGTTGCTCATCATCATCTCCATAATATCTAAAATATTTTAATTATTTAATTACATTAAAATAATAAATTTTTAATTATATAAAAATAAACATATTTAACATCACAATTTGTAGATATAAGAGAAAAATTATAAATAAATGTACGTACCTGTTAATGACAAAGAGACTCATTTTTCTTTATTTTATTTATATTCGAAAAATAACAATCATACACTTTCTTTTGTTCACTTTAATATCAACAACAATACAACACCAATTTATTTGCACTTTTAACAAATTTTCAAACAAAAATAAAATGTTTTTACAATTTGTTCAAATAATTTTTTAAACACAAAATAGTTATTCGCGTTTTAATATTTAGAAAAAAGTTTATTTAACCGGTTTGATTTTTGTTTTTATAAAGATCAAATAAAGAACCACGTGAAAATTTTGAGGTTAGAATCGTCAGCTGTTTAAGACGAAAATTGCGCTTGCGTCGCGATAAATAAGCGACAGATTCAAAAAATGTTCTAATATATAAAATATATAAGGATTAAATTTTTGCTTCTCTTTTATTTTTGCTATAAAATAGGAATTTGTTTTTTTTTTATAGTAAACAATATAATAATAATTTAATTTCTACTTGTATTAAAATGTAAAAACTAATCAAGTTCCTTAATTGTTTACTGTAAACAAATAATTTCACTGAAATTTTTAATTTTATAAATCAGTTGTAAATAAAAATCAGAATATATTATTTAAATTATAACAATTATTCAGTTATATTCTTACTTGTAAATTTTAAAAAATTCGAAACATACCTCTATTAAAATTAAATCACCTGATATTAGCATTAAAGGTATAAGAATCCTTTTTTGCTTTATTTTCACACAAAAAAAAAACGGTTTTAAAGCGCGCACAGACTCTAATAACTGTTCTTTTTTATAATCCATACAAATAAACGGTTTTAATACACGCACTGACTCTACTAATTATACTTTTTTTTTTCAATTCCCCTTTTTAATTGAATATGATCCTGAAAAAAAATTAATTAATTAATGTCAGTTCTATATTTTCCAAAAAAAAGGTTTTCTATTTTCTTAAAGAAATTCACGTCTACTTTATAGACATTTTCCAAATTATGAATTAATCTGAATAATTATGATAATTACATTAAATTAATGGTTTTATAGCTTTGTAACCAAAAACACAAAATAAAATGTTAACTTAACCTCAAAGTTAATTAATTAAATTAATATTTTTCTTAATTTTTCAATTCAGTATTAAATGAAAGCAATATCAGAAAAATAAAATAATATTCTTAACAGCAATTACTAATAATAAATAATATATAATTATAATTAGATTTTGAAAATGAATCTCGATAAAAGAAAAATTGTAATTTTTAAAAAAAAATCTCCAACTCACCATATTGACGAATCTTCGTCCACCAGACAATTAGTATCAAGTTAATTTAGTCCCCGGAGATCCCTTTTCTGGGTTATAATAAAAATTTCGAAAAATTTTTTTATAACCTTACAAAAAGACCGGGTTCATAAGAAACTTTTCAACTAATTGCCAAAGTCTTCGTTTTTCACGATGATTGGATACATAATCAGAAAAACTGCAAAAATACAAAAGAATTATGATTAAATGTAAATGTATTATGATTATTATGCCTAAATTCGATAGAATTTTACTGACTGATAATGCAATAATAGGTGCTGCCGTTAGAAATTGCAACAATGTTGTAACGACAAAAATTTGTACGACGCCATTTTGAAAAAAATTATTTTACCTCAATATTACCAAATATTCCAAAAAATATTTACGAAAAATTACTCTATTTACAAGATTTCGCTACAAATTCTTAAGATTTTTGACATATTTCAACGGAAAAACGATGCTACTGACCTCAAGAAAAAAAGAAGAATAGAGGAGGGGGGATAGTTACTAATTGTCAATTTTATGCACTTTTAGTTATTCATTTACGGTATATTCATGAAATGTGGTGTGCATTGACTAGATTAACAAGTTAAACGAAAAAATTTTGTAAAAAATAAGGAAAATACACCTTTTTTTCACGAAAAGTGAATATCGCAAATGGAGGGAGGGGAGGGGGTAGACGCAAATTCTCAATTTTACGCACTTTTAGTTATTCATTTACGGTATTTTCATGAAATGTGGTGGGCCATAGCTAGATTAACAAGTTAAACGAAAGATTATTGTAAAATATAAGGAAAATATACCTTTTTTCATGAAAAAGTGAAGACCTCAAAGGGACGCCATCAGCCTGTGAAAAATTTTCAACAGGAATGAACAAGTAGAAATGGCAACACTGGCTCTTGCGTCTGATTGGTTGAGCATTTCACGCCGCGGCAAAATACAAAATCTCATTAGTGGACAAGTTTTTTTGAAATTGGTATTAAATTAAAGTGGTTATTTTAAAATTATTTTTAGTTTTAATTATTAATTATGAATATTAGTAAAAAAAAAATAAATAAATAATCAAAATATATAAATACTTTTAGTTTTATTAAGAAGAATAATTAAATATTTATAAATAAATAATTTATAAAAGTAATAAATTATTTTATTGTTTATGCAAATTATTGTTAATTTAATTGTAGATGAAAGATAAAAGATAAAAAATAAAAGAATTTTATTTATTTAATCAGAAAATTGTTATTATTTTTTTTTAACGATGTAATATGGTGAATTTATATATTGTTGCGCTTGTGTTCGTTTACCCCTACATTTGTAGGTTATGTTGTGATACTGCTTACTGCACGTGTTGCACTACCAAATAACAAGCATGTTATTATGAATTAATAAAAATATATTATTTAAAAATGTCACGAGAACCGAAATTAACGAATACTTCTCCTAACTTTTCAAAACCAGCGAAGTCACAAAATACTGTAAGTTTATATTTGTTTTATATGTATAAATAAATTACGAACTTTTATGTAAACAATAACCTGTAAATAATTAAATTAATCATTTATTTACTGTAAATTATAATTGAAAATTAATTTAAGAGATTATTGATTTATTTATAAAACAGGTTTTCATTCTGTTAATAATTAATAATACCAAAGAGAGAAATATAAATACAAATTCTACTTTAATTATTTGTAGTGTTTTATTATTTTTTTCAGATACTAAAAAATTTAGGATTTTTTTTTAATAAACAATAATTTGATTAAATTAATCATTTATTTACTGAAAATTATAATTAAAAATTAATTTACGAGATTATTGATACAATAATCTTGAAATAATTAAATTAATCATTTATTTACTGCAAATTATAATAGAAATTTAATTTAAGAGATTATTGATTAATTTAAAAAACAGGTTTTCATTACATTAATAAATAATAATACCAAAGAGAGAAATATAAATTTAAATTAATTCTTTAATTATTTATAGTGTATATTTTATTATTTTTCACAGGTACTACAAAATTTAGGGATTCCACATATAGATTCTTTCAATTACTTTTTGGATGAAGGTCTAACAACAGCTGTAAATGAAATTTATCCTATACAATTTAGTGTTGGCAGTGGAGATAAAATAAAACTTTGGATTGAAAATGCACAAATTAAGGAGCCATCGATTCCGGAGGGTACATTGGGTGTGAGAAATCGTAAAATATTTCCAACAGAATGTCGACAGAGAGGATATACTTACAAGGGATTATTGATGATAAAAATGGCATGGTCAGTGAATGGAAAAATTCAACAATCCATTGACAAAGATTTAGGAGAAATTCCTATTATGATCAAGGTATATATTTATTAAATTACAGTTCAGTAATTTAATAATTTAATTAATTACCGTTTTTTTATATTTTAGTCGAATAAATGTCACTTGAAAGGAATGAATCCTAAACAATTGATAAATCACAAGGAACATGAAGATGAATGGGGTGGTTATTTTGTTGTAAAAGGACACGAAAAACTTATAAGAATGTTACTAATGACTAGAAGAAATTATCCTGTTGCTGTTAAAAGATCAGGTTGGAAACAACGTGGAAGTTTATTCAGTGATCTTGGTATTTACATAAGATGCGTTCGAGATGATAATACAGCAGTGGTATAAAATTTTTGTTTAAAAAAAATAGAAGTTTTAATTTATATTTAAAAAAATAAATATACTAGATTTTTTTTAATACTAAATTTTTGAATTTATTTTTAGACAAATGTATTGCACTACGTCACAGATGGAACAGTAAAATTATCCTTTTCACATAGAAAATTTATGTACTATATACCTTTATTATTAATTTTAAAATGTCTTATGGATGTGCCGGATACTTATATTTATAATGCTTTAATTGCTGGTTTTGAAGATAATAAACAATATCAAGGTTATATTGCAAATATGATGCGAGCAGTTAAAGAAGATGGTTTAATTACTCATGATCAATGTAAAGCTTATATAGGAAAAATATGTAGAGTTAAATTTTATGAATTACCACAAGATTCAAAAGATTCTGAATACTGTGATTTTATAATCAAGTAAGTTGTTCATTTTTTAAATATTTATATTAATTAAAATTTCTAATGAAAAACAAAAATTTAGATACTGTATTGGAATTCATCTCGACGATCCAGCTGATAAATTTCAATTGCTGATTTATATGACAAAAAAATTGTTTGCTGCTTGTAAGGAAAAATGCGTTGTCGAAGGTGTCGATGCAGTTATGATGCAAGAATGTTTATTGGGTGGTCATTTATATTTACAAATTGTTAAAGAAAAAATTTCTTCTTGGTTGAGTAATGTGAAATTTGCCATTTTAAAACGTGAAAAAGCAATTAATAATTACACTATACAACCTCGTTAGTATTTTTATTTTTAATAAATAAAGTACTTTAAATATTGTAAATATTTTTATATGTAGAAAATTTAAAATATTTTCTTTTTATAGAGGATGTCGTCAATGCAATGAAAAATTCCGGAACCTTGGAAAATGCTATGGGAAATTTTATGGCAACAGGAAATATTCGAACTGACAGCGGTTTGGGTTTAATGCAAACATCAGGCTTGACAATTGTCGCTGAAAATATCAATAGAATGCGATATATGAGTCATTTTCGTGCAATTCACAGAGGTTCTTTTTTTACTGAAATGAGAACAACAGAACATCGAAAATTGCTTCCCGACGCATGGGGTAATTATATTTTTAATTAATGTTCGAAATTAATTATTTTAATTGAAATAAATTACAAATTTTAGGATTTATTTGCCCTGTTCACACACCTGATGGAACACCTTGTGGTCTATTAAATCATTTAACAATGAATTGTATAATAACAAAACATCCTGATAAAAAATTAAAGGAGGCAATTCCTGATTTTTTATTAGATCTAGGAATGTTGCCTTTATCAAGAGCTGACGATTGGAAAAATTCACATTCTTTTATGCTTACAATTATGTTGGATGGAAAAATAATTGGTTTAATTGAAGACAAAATTGTTGGGCGTGTTGTTGATAAACTTCGTGTTTTGAAAATTAATAGTGAAATTCCATCAACAACAGAAATTGTTTTAGTTCCTAAGAAGGATATTCCAACGCAATATCCAGGTCTTTATTTATTCACTGGACCAGCAAGAATGATGAGACCAGTTCAAAATTTATCGATGAAAAAAATTGAATTAATTGGAACGTTTGAGCAAGTTTATTTGGATATTTGTATTAAGCCAGATGATACTCCCGAGGGGGTGAGAATTTTTCTTTATTTTTTTTTTAAATTTGCCATATTTAAATATTGTAAAATTAATTACATCTTTTTTTTTTAGTTAGCAACTCATCAGGAATTATCGAAAACTTCGTTTTTGAGCAATTTGGCTTGTTTAATTCCAATGCCTGATAATAATCAAAGTCCCAGAAATATGTATCAATGTCAGGTAATTAAATTAATAATAATAGTGAAATTTTATATAAATAACTAAATTTTGTGAAAATTAAAACAATTTTAATTTGATAATTACTTAAATAATTAAATTATTGAAGAAGTTTATTGTGACAAATTTTGTGGTAACTTTGATTAATTATTTTTGGTTTTTTATTATACAGATGGGAAAACAAACGATGGGTACACCTTGTCACAATTGGCTTCAACAATCTGAAACAAAATTGTACAGATTACAAACTCCGGCTACTCCATTATTCAGACCGATTCATCACGATGACATTGGATTAGATAATTTTGCCATGGGTACAAATGCAATTGTCGCCGTTATTTCTTATTCGGTAAAATAATTATAATTGGAATATTTATTTTTTTTTTTACAAATAAAATCATAAATTTTTATTTTATCAACAGGGATACGATATGGAAGACGCTATGATATTAAATCAAGCTTCTTACGATAGAGGTTTTGCCCATGGTATGATTTACAAATCAGAATTTGTTGATTTGAATGATCCAAAGGACTATTTTGCTCTTGATCCAAAAGCAATAGATCTACATGAAGTTTTGGATTCAGATGGTCTTCCACCACCTGGAATGAAGCTTAAAAAAGGAACTGTTTATTATTCGTATGTTATTTCTACTTTATAAAAATGTTATAGAATATTTTTATCAGATTAGAGGAATTTTTTATTTTTTTTATCAATCAAATCTAATTGTTTTTGGAGGAATTTTTAAATATAAAACTACTTTTATGTACAGGTACTGGAATTCCGATCAGAACGAATATAAGACAGGAAGATACAAGGGTAAAGAAGAAGTTTATGTGGATAATGTAAAACTTTGTGGTACTTTGAGCAGTCACGTTCCAAGAAGAGCGTGTATTACTTATCGAGTTCCGGTTAGTATAATTTAATCTTCAAAAATTAAAAAAATGTAAATAAAAAATCGTAAATATTTTATATTTAATTTAAAATATATTAAAATAGTTATTCAAATTTAAATAATTATTTATAAATAATTATTAAAAATTCAATTATTTTAAAAAATAGAATAAACAATTTATTTTTGAGCTGATTTTAGGAACTTCTTTTTAAATTAATAAATTAGAATTAGTAAGTGTTTAATTTAATTTTTAATTAAATATATTTTAAAAATGTAATCAGCGTAATCCGAAAATTGGAGATAAATTTGCGTCACGAGCAGGACAAAAAGGAATTTGCTCTCAAATGTGGTCGCAGGAGGATTTGCCAGTTTCGGAAACGGGATTAGTTCCTGATATTATTTTCAATCCTCATGGATTTCCCAGTCGTATGACAATTGGTATGTTGTAAAAATTATAAACTAAATAAAACTGATTTCAGTTATTGGAAAGAATTGAATTTAGAAATTTTTTAAATTTCTTTTTTTTTATTACTATAAAGCTATGATGATCGAATTAATGGCCGGAAAATCAGCATCAATTCATGGACTTGTACACGATGCAACACCATTTCGTTATTCAGAAGAAGACACTGCTGGTGAATATTTTGGAAAACTTTTAGAAGCAGGTGGTTATAATTATCTTGGAACTGAAAAAATGTACAGTGGTACTAATGGTGAAGAATTATCAGCAACTATTTTTATGGGAGTTGTTCACTATCAAAGACTTCGACACATGGTTTCTGATAAATGGCAGGTGAGTAAACAAAATTATTATTTTAGTAAAAGAATGCATTTATCAGAAATATTTTCTTATCAGGTGAGAAGTACTGGACCAATTGACGGTTTAACTAGACAACCAATTAAAGGACGAAGAAGAGGTGGAGGCGTGAGATTTGGAGAAATGGAACGAGATGCATTAATTTCTCATTCGAGTCCTTTTCTTCTTCAAGATCGTCTTCTGCATTGTTCTGATGGAGCAGGGGTAGGAAAAATATTCCTTATTAATAAGAAAAAAAATGTTTAGAAATTTGTAATTTTTTTTATCTTTTTCTATTTTGTATGCTTCAGATGTCAATTTGCAAAAAATGTGGAACTGTTCTTGGACCGGGATTGGAGATGACTGTGAGTAAAGCAGGAATTGGTGAAAGAAGAATAAGATGTAGAATGTGTGACAATGATTATTCATCTAAAGAAATTGACTTTCCATACATTTTCCGTTATCTCATTAATGAATTAGCTGCAAGTCATTTAAAAGCAGAACTCGAAATGGAGGAAAAATAAATCAATTTATAAATGCGTTGATATTGTTAAAAAAATTTTGAAAACCCGACATTTTTCTATATTTATGTATTATAATAATAAAAAAATATTTTTAAAAAAACAAGAACTAGATATTATTTTTATTTTTATTTGCTAATATTCAAGACTTTCAAGTTTACAACAACAACAACAACATTATATTACAAATTTAGTTTACACATATCGCCACAAATTCATGAATATGGTAATTCTGTGTATTTACATGAATTTTCTTATTATTATTATCATTTCAATTTTTCTTGACAGAAAATTGGCGATCATCACACGACCAACCAGATATTAAATATTTTTTTACAAAAAAAAAAAATTGGACTATTTTCGATTCATATGGAATGTGAATATCTGATTGTGAAAATATGTTCTCTTTTTTTTACAATTTCATTAAATGTGATATAAGCAATTTATATTTGTCTTTTTTTTTTTTTGATAAATTGGAATCTGAGAAACGTGAAATATTATTACAGATTCGTGGTGTATGTTTTAGTAAAATCCTGACACGCGTAAAAACATAATGGATTTCTAAAACTCTATAGAGACAAGCATAAGCTACTTTCGTTTTAAAGTGAAAATTTGGAAATTAGTGATTATTTATGCTTTAGCTGGTACTTGTGCACCGGATTTTGTTCCTTGCTGTGGTGTTCCTTGATCTTTCTCCAACTGTTTTCCCAAGTATTCCCTGAAAAGGAAATTATTATTTATTTATTTTCTTTTAATTATTGAAATTTTTAGAAATAATTGAATTTTAAAAGATTTTGTTAAACTTTAGACAATAATTAAATTTTACAAAATTGAAAATAATTTATCAAATAATTTTAGATAATCTTTTATTGTTGTAAATTGAAATAATTGAAAATAAATAAATTTCAAGTGATTTTGAATTGAAATTTTTGATAAATTTATTCACTGATTTTTTTGTTTAAATTTAAACAATTATTGAATTTCATATAAAATTTTAATTAAAAATATGTATGTTTAGAAATTAAATAAATTAATTAATATTAATTAATATAATTGAATTTGTGAAGAATTTCATTAAAATTGTCGAAAATAATTAATTTAGATGAATTTAATTTAAAAATTTGTTAAATAATTGAAATAAATTTTGAGCCTCCAATTAAAATTGTATATATTTATTAATTATTTTTCTTACCAATTATGCACCATTAATTTCTGTACAGCCAATAAAGCTTCATATCGTACATTTGGATCTTCATGTCCAAGAAGTTGCATTACACGTTGTTTACCACCTAGTTGTTCAATAACGCTGAAAAAATAATTAGTTAACAATTTAAAATTTTGAAGGAAATTAAATTTTAAAAAAACTATTCAATTTTTTTTTTTTATAAAAGAAAAAATTTCTCACTGTTTTCCACGGGGATAATGACGAACATATTCTCCAATATCAAAACTGGCAACACTCAAAACAAGAGGATCTTTGCTGGTTTCAAGTAAATGTACAAGAATACGAAGAAGCTCATAATTTTTCTCATTCAAACGACTTGCATTCTCACGCCAGAATTTTCCTGATTTATGAACTGGTGACCATTCAAGACGTCCTGATTTAACTTCCGTTGAATATTCATCAAATGAACTGAGATCTTGAACAGAGGCTTGAAGTTTATCATTTAAGAAATCAATATCTCCGGTAATATCTTCATCGTCAAATTTACGTTGACCCAAAATCGAAAGCTGTTTGAGTACTTTACATTGAACCATTGCGATGCAATGTTCCTTTGCTACTTGTGCGTCTCCTACTTTTTCAATTAAGTTCTAAATAGAAGCACAAATTATTATTTTTTATTATTTTTCAGTTTAGTTTTTTCGAATTCTATATTAGAAGAATAAAATATTTAACTTACTCTGAATACTGCGAGAATAATTCGTGTTACTTTCTCCTTAACAGAATCACTGAGAATATCTGCTAAAATAGGAATAACATTGAACCTGAAAATAATTTTTAATTGTAATTAATTCTTATTTACATAATATTTAAAAAATTTAATTATTATTCATTTAATTATTTAATTTTATACAAAAATTAATTATTTAATAGAATTACTTACTTATTCATTTTCTCTGCCAGCAGAGGATTAAATGTAAGCACCCAAAGACAAAAAATAAGTTGATATTGCACTTGAAAATTGACTCGACCGGAGAGAACGCTCAAAAGTGTTGAGATACCATCGACAGAGACAAATGAAAAACGATATTCATCAATTCTCAACATCATTTGCAGACATCTCGCCACAGATTGAATATAATCGTTGTTCTAAATTAGAGACAAAAATGATAATAATTAATCATCTTTTAGAAAATTTTAAATTTTTTCTTTTTTAATTAAAAATAATGTAGTTTTAATTATCCAATAGTAGAAACATTCTATGCATGCATTCATGTTATCTGCAAAATAGTGTGTCGATAACTAAATTCCAATCAAGTTTTAATTAATCTAACATGCGCATCGCATTAATCTCCCTATTATTACTCGTTAATATGCGAGTAGCTTGCAAAGTGTTTTTTGAAAAAAGAAAAAAAAAGTAATGGTGCATTTTAATCTATTAAAATTTCTCTCTTGAAAATTATATTCTTAAGAAATTAGCAAAAATAACATATCATTTGAATTATAAATTAAAATTTTTTTTTATAATTTGGTTTTTTTTTTTTAAATATTATATTAAAAAATAGACTGAATTGCTGAAAAAGGAGGTACTTAGCGTTATGGCGAAATTGTCTTTTAAAATGTTACGATGAGTTATTACAAAACCAACCGGATTGAGCAATTCGTGTAGCTCATTTGATTCCCCAGCCTCGTTGGGAGTGTTGTCCTGTACTACCTCGGCATGCATGCTTCCCTCCTGAAGGGCATCGAACTAAAAATTGTGTCGTCCATTCGCGTTTTTTTTATAAATATGTAAATTTTTCTAAGTTTCTTTTTTTTCTAAATATAAACCCATAACCTTGCCAATAAAAGCAACACTGATAATGCCGCATCGATAAGTGATCACTTTCGTGATTCTAAATCAGCACTTTCGAATATGCTATAGGAAACTACGTGACACGAATTATTTTTTTTTTTTAATGAAAATTACTTTCGAGAAATTTATAAAGCACCATTACCTTATTAAAATGAGTTAGTGTTAATTTCGTAACATTTAAAAAACGAAAAAATTTAATATAAAAGTGTAAATTATTCGTAAATTTTTAATAATTTTAATCACGATTTTAATTAATTTATCCTAATTTTTGTAATGATAAAAATTGCATTTTTTTCATTTTAAAAATGTTACAAAGAGTGTTATGAGTCTTAATGTTCTAAAATAAGTCTAAATTATTGCCTAAAGAAATAATAATGCTGGACTATATTGTCAAGCCTTAAATATTTCAACTACGTATAATGTCATTAATTGGTAATTAAAGATAGTCAAATTTTGAATATTTTGTTAAACACATTTTAAGCACAATAGCATTGCAGAGTAAAAGCAAGTGTTTCTACAACTACATTATAGAATTGTTTTTCTTTTCTATTTAATTATATGCCTGAAACAAAACAGTGCATTAATTTAATGTTGAAAATAAAAAAAAAAAGAAAATGTTTCTGTAAAATTTAAAAATTTTGAAAAATGATTAAAACATTCATTTTTTTTATATTAATATTATTTTGATAGTAATACCTTTTGATGTAAAAAAAAACTTACGCTCAATTTCAATTGATCTTTAAGCCACGTTAAATAAAATTGAAGATCAGTTTTTTCCATAAGCTCATGACTCCAACAAGCAAGTTTGGCAATTATTCTTGATGTCATATTCATTATAAAACCATCTGGTCTATTTAGAAGATTCAAGAATGGTCCCCAGACAGATTCACGTTTTCGATTTGAATGTTCTCGGAAAATTTCAACTCGACTACGATTTTCCTATACATAAAAAAGAATTATTTTTATTTATCATTATTTAGAAAATAAAAAATTTTTATAATAACTTTTTTTTAAATTACTAATACCTGTAGCATATCATCGATCATTATAAGAATATATTGAATAGTTTGATCCTTAGATACATGCCCTAGAAGATTTAAAAATGTTTTTGCTGCCTGACTTGGATTTTCCTTTAATTTTGCTTCTCTTGCTTCTGCATCGCTTGTGTCAAACGCTGCTATGAAGTCATAATCTTCTTTTAATATCATTTGAGATCTATAAAAAATAAATAATTGATTAAAAATGAAAATAATCATTTTAAAAAAAATAAAAACTTACTGAAAATAAGACTGCCAATTGATTCGTTGACTTCTTATTTCTGCAGCTTGTTGTTGAAGAACGCTTGTTGCTGCCAACATATCTATATAAATTTGACAGTAACAATAAATTAATTACACAAAAAAAACGTGTAAATTAAAATAAAATCCAAATAATTAATTTTGAAGTTAAGGTAAATGAAAGCAGTATTCATGTCATGTGTGTGTGTCATATTTAAATTGACATTTTTGGAGCAATATTCAGGTTATGATAGAAATCTAAAAAAAGTAGAGAAATAAGACGCAATAATAACAATTAAATTAAAATAAAATGTAAATCAAAATAGAAATATTTAAGAAAAAGGGAGGGGCTTTAATGACATGTGATTTGTTTTTTACCAATTTTCTCATCAGGCAGCGTGGGAATGATTTCCTTGATATTTTTTTGATCCGCCATTATTAATGTGCTTTAGACTGAATTAAATGTAAAATTATTCGCCTTTTCAGGCGATTTTTTTTCGTTTCTCCGCGAATATTTGGGAATTTCACTTGTTCTACTATAAACTCAGCTGTTCGATCCAAGTCACGAGAATCACGAGACTGTATAATTATTTGTACCAACTTAAAATGACTGTCAAAACAATAGTGACTTTGGTTAGAAACTTTTTGATTGTCACCATAGATGGTAGCAATTATATCACTAGAGTTTGAAAAAGAAAAACATATTTTTTTAAAAAAATATATTAGAACCTTTTTTAAAAATCAATATTTCTATTGTATTTCTTAATAATATGTATTATTGTGATAAAAGTAATTTATTTAACGAATAATATGATTAAAATTTGTATTTAAACATTGTTTTTCACATAGGTATTTTAAATAATGCCGCGCTGTTTCGATTCATCGAAAGCGGGCATGCGCAGTAGCGTCTAGTGACGGCCATTTGCAAAGTTGGCTACTCTGGATCATTAGTTGACTGTAGTCAGTGGTGTCAGGTGGTATTTGTATCCTTTTTAACAGTTTTTATTCATTTTTTATAGTTATTTTAGTTCATTTTCGATAAAATCTATGAGATTTATATGTAAATAGTAAAATAGAGTAAGAAAATTTGCTGAAATATTCATTTAATTACGTGATATTTGCTAAAAAAAACAACGACATACACACGTTGTGCTGGTATTTTTTACTCGCTATTCTGACAATATTTCTTAATATTTTTCATTGTTTATTGATTTTTTCGTTAAATATTTCGATGATGTTGAGTAATTTATTATAAATTCCAAAAATCAAGTGCAATTAATTATATTATCAAAGGTTATATTTTGCTGCTTCCACGAGGTTGGCGCCTAAACATTGGGGGTCAAGTGGGGGTCAAACCAAATGATTCCTAGAATACAAACATAACAGATTAAAATTTCTAGTATTATAATTATTTCAGCAAATTTTAATTACATTTAATTCATTGTTAACGTAAATTGAAAAGTTTTTTTTATAATTAAATGTTGCATAATATAATATTAACTATTTTATTGGTAATAATAAATATTTTTTCAGACTTCAACGTAAATTATAAAAAAAAAAATCTGTTGGCACCACTGACTTACAAAGTATTCAGTTTTGGCGGTTATCAGAAGTAGTTGAGATGTGAGGGTGGAATGTTCTCACCCATTTTATTAGTAAATTTAACGATAGTTTTTAATTATTGTTGAAATATATTTATTAAAATAGTATTATCGGGAGTGCGCGTAATTCTTTAAACTCGAAAATATTCGTTATTTTTTAGTCTAAATAGTAATTAAATTAGCAATATCGGGAGTGCGTGAAATTTTTTAACCCCGAAAATTTTCGTTTTGTAGACAAAAGTATTAGAATTAAATTAGCAATATCGGGAGTTAGCGAAATTCTTTAAACCCGAAAATATTCGTTTGTAGGAAAAAGTATGAGTTTTGGTTAAATTAATGAGTTTTATTTTCCACATTGTGATGAATTTCGCGTGCATCAAATTCACCAACAATCAAGGAGACTTCGAACTGTAAACACCACAGCTATAAAAGGTAACATTTATGTTATATATTTATATTATATGTTTATAAAAATACTTTCTATATTTTGAAAATGCATTTGCATATGTGAAAAAAAAATTATCCTGGACCTGATTTTTTTATTTCGAATTTTTATTAGCTAAAAATAATTCCGTAAAAATTTTTTTTTTTATAAAAATTAAAAAAAAATATTCTTACTTTAATTTTAATTAAATATTTTTAAAAAATTCACTAAAAATTATTGAATCGAGTATTGTTTATTTGATTAAAAAAATTATTTGGTGCAAGTAAATTAATTTATTTTGCATTAATAATCAATTATTTGTATTAAATAATTTTTTTCCGAGTATAATATAAAAATTATAATGGATTTAATTAAATTATAGTAAATTTTTTATGAAAATTGATTTTTATTTCGGGATTGGTGATTACGAATTTAAAGAAAAACATGTTTTTTTTTTTCATAAAAAGAGTTTTATTTTCCAATGATAATTTTATCTTATGTATAAAACTACTGGTTTTTATTTTGCTGGAATAGCCTTGTCCCTCATCACAAGAAATTTTTATTTTTTTAAATAGTTTTATAGTCCTTTCACGAGTCTATTCTTGTTATTTTTTCTTTCTTTTAAAAAAGTGTGAAAAACTTTCATGGTGTTCGTTTTTTTTTTTTTTTTTGTAAGAAATACTATACTTGAGTATCTATAACACTATGATATCGTTTTTAGTATTACACAGTTTATTCTTATCGTTTATGTTGTCTTATTAATTTTTTTTTTTTAATATTTATATTCGCTGTGGATGTATATATATATATATATTTATATTTGTATATATATATATATTTATATATATATATAATATGTATAAAATTGTCAGTACAGTCTGTTATATTTAAGCTCTTCTAATATCGAATAACTTCTTTTTTACATTGTTGCCTAAATATTGTCATTCTTGGCAAAAATATTTACGCCACATTTATTGCATGTAAACAAAGATATTTGGAGCACGTTGCCCTTTTGTATTTTACAATCTCTCGCGTACTTTCAAAAAGACTTATACAATGAAAGAATTTTTCTATTTTAAAAATTTGTAATAACAATATATTTTCGGCGAAAAATGAAAACAAAACGGTGAAATTGTCAAGACTATTAAACCATTCTCTACTTTTTTTTTACAAAGTTCTGAACATTCGCATTTGAATTTTTTTTTTTTGATTTAAATATTTTAAAATTTTTTGTTTTTTGATTTTAGTATTTAAAACTTTATTTTTAAAATATTGGATTAAAAAATTGAATTTTAAAAATAAAATTGAAAATTTCACTTGTTGAATGAAAATTCAGAACTTTAAGAAAATTATAATTTTTATTTTAAATCAACTGCAATTTAAATTTGAGGACGTTTTTATCACTTATTGTTAGTCGATAAATAAAATTTTTTTAACATTCTTAATTTGTATAAAAAACAATTTAAAAAAAAAAAAAAATTGCAGTACGTTTGCAATCTAATATAGTCGAGGGATGTAGAATTAATTATATCATCAATTATAAACATATAGAATAGTTATTTTTTTTTTTAACAGACAAATATCTAACTTTTTTCATATATCTAGAATTCTACACATTCTCTCGCGTACTTTCATCTTAGATAATTAAAGCGTTCGCTCATAGCGCACAATTATTTCTCTCATACTTCTCAGGCACTCGACGCGGCACAAAGTATATATATATATTTTTTTTCTCCTTTAATTTAGATATTTACAACATTTTAATTTATTTTTTTTTTTCGTTTAAACTTGACCTACTCATCTAATGTCAATATTACAACATTCGTTAAACGTTTTTTTTTTTTTTAATACCAATTCATTATGAATCATGAATACTGGACATTTTTTTTTTCCTATTTTTCATTACGACTATTAAGTAATATTTAAATATCGCAATAAAACTAATTTGAAAAAAGCATCCAAATTAGTACGGAAAATATTTTTTTGTTTTCTTAAACGTTTCGTGTTTTTTTTTTTTTTAGAAAATAAAAGTTATACTTTGAACCAGACGTACGTGGAATTAAAATTCATTATAAATGTAAAAATTTGTCGATACTATATGCCTTTGTTTTTTAAATTAATAATTAATTTTTAGATTTGTTACATAAATTTTTTTTCTCTATCCTACAAAGGGCGATAGTTGAGTTTTATTCAAGTTTATAATTAGAAATTCAAGAATTCTAATTAATTAAAAAAAAAATTAATATATATCTTAAAATATTTTATTGAATTATTTATAATTTAAATTGCATTTTTTAACAAATCTTGAAGTCAATAAAATATTGTATTGATACAATACAACTTTATTCATTTCTTGTTAGTCTGTAATTTTTTTTTTATTTCGCGTTTTTTTTTTTTGGAAATATAATACGAACATCTCTGAAAAATGTTTTTGAATGTTGTTCAAAAACTCGGAGAAATTCGTGAGAGTTGCTTGTAAATTACAATAAGAAAACTTGAATTTAAAATTTAAACTTCTTCTTTTTTGATTAAAAGAGAATCTCTAATTCTCGAAATTGTATTTTATTGCGAAAACTAAATCAATAAAGGAAATGGAAAAAAAATATTTGTAATGTTTAAAACATTTAAATTTGGAATATAAAAATAATAATTTAAAAAGAATTTCATACAGTTTTAAACTGATGAATAAAAATTAATTATTGCGTAACAATTTTAGAAATTGTTTTTTTTAAAAACACAAAATTATAATATGAAAATTTCTTTTAATTCGACATTTTTTTAAAAAGTCGAAAATTTTTTTACTGTAATTTGTCTTTTGAAAATTTATCGTCCCTTTTTAGGATTAGAAAAACTATGTTTTGTAAAATAAAACACGTCTATGTATGTTTAAAATAGTGGATCAAAATGAGATATATCTCCTTTGTATAATAATTAGTAATAATTAAAAGTACAAAATCTATCGAATGACTTTTTAAGTACATTTTCGTAACCAGGATGCAAAAGATTATGCTTTGATCTTAAGTAATCGTAAAGTAATATAAAATACTGGTTTAACCGTACAAAAAAAAAAAAAAAATTGGTCCTCCTATAGGACACGAATAACCACTCTGCGACCCATATTTGCTCATTTCATTTTTTTTTTACTTTCTCATTTACACTGAAATGCACATTATTTTGCAGAAAATTATAGATTCTCGCCCACATATCGTATCTAATATATCAATCCAATTAGCATAAAAATTGTATAAAAATCCTCAAAAAATACTATTTTTTTTATAAAAAGTATCAAAAAATTTTATTTTTTGATAGAAACAATTTTTATTGAATTCAAAAGAGTTGTGGAAACAAAAGTGATAATCTATTTTTTTGTATTATCTTTGATTTTTTTGTTCTTTAATCACGAAATTAGAGAGCACTTTGATTTTTTCGAATAATAATCATTTTTCTCCACTCTTTTGACTTGCAAAATTGACTATAATTTTTAAATTCAATGTCTTTGCATTAATATATATATATAGTGAAAAAACAATTTTATCAACTGAAAATTATGAAATGTGCGCTCATATTCGTTTATCAGTCTCAATCAATCTCGCTTTGCACACAGAAAAAAAAAAACCTTTTTTCTACGATTACAATTTGTTTTTTTAATTTCACAGAAAAAATTGTATTTTAAAATCAGTGAAATGAATAAAATAAAATATAAACATTTTTAAAATGTATAATTCAGTTTTTAATTAAACATTTTGTGTAATCATAGTTGAGATTTTTTTTTTCTTTGTGCATTTGAATGCACGTTGGACGTTACGAGCAAACCATAGGCCTCTTTGAAACTCCTGTATTTTAAAAAGGCAGGAATGCAGGCCTCATATGGAAGCATTTCAGTAGAAAATATATATCTATATTTTACATATATATTTATAATTTTATATATATATGTTTATGTATATATATATTATCCGAAGTATGTCATCTATCAGCCTATTCTAAAATAGTCCTCCTAGATTTGTAGTCCCCTCACCAAAAATTAACTTTATCGCATTACTATCGCACATTTAACAGTCAGGGTTCTAAAAAAAAAAAATAAAAAAATAAAAAAAAACACCACTCATTCTCGCCTATAATCTAAAACCTGATTCCCGGAGACTTATGGGTCGCATAAGTATGGAATCTGAAAAATCGCAAAGGAAGAATATACTCGAAGCGTCCTTCACGCATCGGGTTTTTTTTTATCACATCTTTTAATCTGCTATCGTCTTGGACTCCTACTGTACATCTTATCTCGATTATCAGTTCGGAATTTCCTGCTTAGCAATAAAAAATATTGTCCGTTTAAGATTAATTCGACATTTTCAGTGGTCCCCACGTAATAATTCCATTAGAAGATTAAACGAACAACCTTCACCCTCGGCACGTTTAGCGCTTAACAATTCCTTTCCTGCTTGGCACGTTCTTTGCAAATCAGGAATCCTGAGAAGCAATTCGCCAAATTTTGCTGGCATTTCTGGATACCTGGCGATTGTATATTGCTGTAGTGCTTGAAGTGCTTTTTCCTGAGAAGCTCTCACCTTCTCGGGTTCTTTTAATTCACTTGTATCCGATGTCAATAGTACTATCACCTAGAAATTTTCAAATTCAAGTTAGTAAATTTTGTGTAGTGTGAAAAAGGGTTCTAAAAACCAATTATTTTAGAATTTTAAAAGAATTTCATTAGATAGAATTTTTGAATTATTATTTTTCAGAATTTCCAATTGACAGAATCAAGATAGAATTTTTATTTGTCTGAAATTTTAAATGATCAAATAAAGAATCGAAAAGAAAGATTTCATTGTGATTTTTAAAAGTAAATCATAATTTTACGGATTATTTTTGATTTTAAAAATAGCGCCAAAATTCGGTTAAATGATTTTTTGGTTAAGTAAAACTTATGTAGTATGAAAAATTGGTTATATGGAAATTTTATCAAATAATAATTTGAACAAATAACAATTCGGCTCAATGTGTCCCAAAGAAAGTAGTTTTAAACTAATTTACCTTCATTGCAACATATTCGTATTGATCCACCCTGAGGCGCCTGAGATTATTTGTAAAAGTAAGCATCCTCTCGATGCATGTCGCTAAACCAAGTTGTCTCGCTTGCTCTAAAGTAATAGATTTTCCTAATGACACACGTATTTCTCCGGGTGTACTCATACTTCGAAAACAGCATGAAAACAACAACAATTCACACCATGAATTGATGAGTAAACAAATTTGATCATCAATTGAGATGTTTTTAAATAAAGGCAGGCTTTTACACCATTTGACAATTTTGTACAGTCTATGATCAGCGATATTGCACAAGTTTGACAAAAAGTCGGGATGCTGTGTTGGATTACCATTAGGATTGGGTGTAATTGTTGCATTAACATTTGTTGATGAATGTTGATGATCGTGATTATTTGCCGGTAACGATCCAGTGGAACTAGGCCTCGCAGATTCGCCACTATTGATATTTCCATTTGTACCAGTTGCTCCATTTGCAGTTCCTCCTCCTCCTCCTCCACCACCCACTAGTGAATCACCGCTTCCACAACTTCCGCTACCATTCCCACCTGATGTACTATTTTGACTTCCGCCAACTCTGTCATTGTCATTATAATGCCACAAATGTTCAACATCCATAATATCTTGTAATAATTGTGGCACTGCTTGCATTTTATGTGAATGATTCGAATGATGTCTCATTTGATGATGATGCTCTGAACCTGGTGGTGCAGGACTACAAGATCCACCTGTCATTTTATCACCAGACATCCCGCCGGCAGGACTACCAATGAGATTCGCTGGCAGTGTATATGTACACTGATAGGTACTTCGACCACCTCTTGTTCTATCTTCCCTTATTGCTTCGAGTTTCATTCCCATATTGAGACACTTGTCAAAGCGGCAAGCTGGACATTTTTTTCTTGTCGCGACTGTCACTGGACAACCGACACCTCTTAGGCATACGTAATTTTTACGATTTTGTACTGTTCTCTTGAAAAAGCCTTTGCACGATTCACAGGAAAAAATACCATAGTGAAAACCACTAATTTTGTCACCGCATATTGGACAGGGACTATTGATTAATTGTTGTCTTGTTGAAATACCAGTGGGTGCCGAGGGTATTCTACAATCGTCTTGATCGTCAGGATGACCCTCGGAAGAGATCTCGGAACCTGGTGCTGAATAATGATGACTTCCAGTGGATGATGCCGGTAGATGTAAAGGACTACCTTGAGCGACTTGATGATGATGTTGTGGATGTGCATGTCTGGGTTGTTGAACTGGTGAATGTGTCGGAGGACTTAGTGATCCATAACTGTAACAACTGCTTGATGCATCCGAATTGTTTCGCGACAGTGAATGTGAAAGTGACAAAGATAGTGATGATGTTGAATTATTAAAACTGTGACGTGACAGAGATAATGATGACGATGGTACTGGACTCCCTGGACCCAGTGCCGAATGTCTTGCTGCATGTGGACTTTGTGTTGGCGAACTGAATACACTGTACGCTGAATGAATCGCGGAATCGGGTGATGGAACCTGAAAAAATTAGAATTATATAGAATTACGTATTTTTGTACTTTAGATAATATATTTCTGAAATTCTTGCCTGTGATCTGGTGTGACTGTGTTTAGTGAGATGATGCCTTGGATTGAGTACAGGGCTGTGATTAGGAGTCGAGCTGTTATAACCTCCAAGGAGCTTTCCAACAAGTAAAGGTAAATCATTTTGTTGTGTCTGCTCCAAGCTTTCCAAACGTTGATGTTGTTGAACTTGTTGAGCGTGTGATAAAGGCAGAATAGTGTCATTCAAACCATGTGTTAGTCCCGGACTAGACCGGAAATCCGGCTCCGGTTTTATTGGAAATTTTTGTTCTTGTGGTCCAGGACTTGCACTACAAACTTGAACTCCTTCCATAGATGTTTCTTCAAGGTCCTGTACAAATTAAAAGATTAGATTACCCGACTTTCTTTCTACTTGTATAATAATTGTTTTTAGATCTTATTTGTTTTTACTTGATTTGTAATGGTGTTGGAAGACATTTCTTGATCTGATAGTTCACCCTCCCAGGACATGGGCCTTTCTGGTTGTTGCTGTAAATTATCATTACAGCTTTCGTTGTCGTGCTTTTTCTTTGTGCGCAAATTAACCCCGCGGAAGTCGATTTTACTCACTTCCCCATCACTATCCTCTACGTCGTTAACGTTTGTTGATTCTGTGGACCCGATGCTGGTGCCGGAATCAATGACACCGGATCCACAGCTCGATACTACTGATACCGTCACGCCATTCTGTCCACCCAGATACTTGCATACACTTTTACCTGTTGGAAAATTAAATCATTTATTAAGAATCATTGACATTGGCCGAAACAAAATTTCAACAAATTTATTTAATTAAAGGTTACCGTAACCATATAGCAATTGTTACTATACAGAAATAATTACAGCAACCATTGCTATGGTTACCGTATCCTTAGAAACAATTACCATAGCAACAATTCAAAAAAAGAATTTAGAATTGCAATTTATAAAATTGTTAAGTAATTGAAATAGTTTATGAAAATTGTACTCTTTATATTTATCATTTATCGAGAAAAGGAAAATAAAGTAATATTTTAGACTATGTCCATAATGTTTTTATTAAAAAAGCAACTTTTATGGAGGAGTGAGTTTTTTTCTATAATTGAAAATTTAACTTTCGTAGAAAGTCTTGATTATGCCTCTCTGCAGCAGTTGCTTCGATCAAATAGTTTTAACGATTTACCGCTAAAGACAAGGTAAGCAAGCAATCAAGACTTTCAATTGGGTTCTATACTGAGTAAGTTTATTACGTTATTAGGAAACGTAACTGGTTAGCTTAAGATTCGACGCACGCAAAGCCATTGCGAAGAAAAGTATTAAACCACCATCGATTGGCTTTCGGACCAGTGAAGCGCGTTGAGGAAGAAAACAGTTAGGATTAGGCCAAAAGATAAACCATTTACAGAGAGAGAGGTTGGAGTATAATACTACGTCAACTAATTGCTAGTTATGTCGCGTCGTTATTCGCAGGAGTATTAACGGACCATGGATCCCTTAATAGTCGTAAAAATAATTTAGTTGACTCAAAATTCAATGAGAGCGAAACTTTAATGGTTTTAACTGAAAAAAAAATTGTATTCGTTACAATAAATATATAACAAATATATATATAGAAAGATTTACTTAATTGTTTGTAAAAGATTTATGGATCCGTTTCTATTAAAAGTTGAGAGACGCATCATTCCTTGAAAGGTATAATGCATTATTTCGTCACAATTGTTTTCACCTCCCCTTGGCAAATAAACGTGCTCAAAAGACCAAACACGTGGTCGCGCCATGTAGGCGCCTGTATTCATGTTTCTTTAAACATTTTGTTATGGATTCATAAAGTCAGTCGTACTTTTAGCTTTTTAATGAGATGGCAAACAGAAAAATCCTAAATTTCGAGTTTTCGGAAAATAATTTTTTTTTTATTTTTTAATGTTTTAACCAATGTATTTTTATGTTGCAGGTAAACAATTTGAAGTTTGATAATTGGCATGCTTTGAGTATATAAGGTAAGGGAATAAGTTTTTCTTACAAAATTATATATTTGTTTTTCTGACAAAATTTTGGCCTACTACCAATAACCATATTGTACTTTTACGAAGTATTTTGAATCTTTAAAAAGTTATTGTAATTTGAATTTTTTGAAGCATTATCTTATAAACGAATATTGACCACTTTTAGGTCAGAATATATCAGTCAAAATGCTTGGAAAAAGTATAGTCAAGTTCTTGGTTTCAAAGTAGATTAAAAAACAAACAAAATTTATTGTTTTTAAATCAGTGACATATTTATAAAAAAAAAAAAAATGTTTAAAATTACCATCGTGCATCTCGTGAGCCGGTAGCACGTTAATGGTCGTGACGGAGACGTTCTTCCCAGCCTCCGAGGTACGGGATGGCATTGACGATTGTAACTTCCATGATTGCGCCGGGGGCCACCAACCCGGGCCCTCTGTGGGCCCATTTTGCTCTGACATTCTCAGCTGGCTGCGATTCGCCGCACGCTGGCAATAATTCGCGCTTTTAGTCGGCGATGCCCCAGGTTGACAACGATGCTTCTCAGCATCCTGAGCAGCCTGGCAGGACGATCCTCAATCTCCTCTAAACGATTACAATTCCCGTTCTATGATGCCAAAGGCCCCTACCATTGCTTCGATCTGCAAGTTCAAATATAATATGCGTGAGACATTTCAATACAAAATGATGATGATGATGATGACGATGTTACTTTTTGAATTTTACTCGCAGTGAATGAAAGGTTAATTCATTATTATGGATCAATAAATATCCTTTGCATTCGTTGTTGAAAGAATAATTTTTATATTGGAAAACTTTTTTTTTTTTTTGAAATGTCTGACAATGATTTCAAAGGAATGTTAATAAGTTGCAATTAACTAGCGACTCAGCACAAAAGGAATTTTAGTGATCGTATAATTAAAATATTTTGTCGTTTCATAAAAGTAATAATTATCATTTTAATTAACTCGTGAGGTTTAATAAATAGAAATGAAAAATTTACTAAAAACTGAATATGAAAAAAAGTCGCTTTAATCATCTTAAATAAAATATATAGTATAAAAGATATATAGATTACGGTATCATGCATTTAAAAGTGAAGTATATACGTAGCGTCTCTTCTTTCAAATTGCATGTTCATGATTTATTTATAGTTATAGGAATTTATTCCCCAAGAGAATTATTTATTCAGAATTTTAGAATTGGTATCGCATTTTCTCGATATTAAATTTCTCGCAAAAATTGTATAAAGAACTTCATTACTTGAAGAATTGAATTTTCTTTTACTTCTTATTCTAATAGAAGAATATTTCTTTGTTTATGGGAATTATTTTGCATTTTATAAGCAATGAGTAAAATATATTTTCTGAATCTGTTTTCTCTAAAATCTGTCGTTGTGTTTTGTTATTATATTGAAATTTTAATTGTTTCTAGAATTGAAAAATATCTCGTCTGTCTAGGTGATGAATTGATAATTGCAATTAGTTAATAAAAAATTGTTATTTATATAATGCTACTATAAAGAAAGGAGTAAATTGTGTGCAGGCAGGTAATTTAGAGTGTAACGCATCTCGAGTAGTCTCTCCCATGACCTTTAGTATCGTGAGAGTGACGATAATTCCATTAGACTCGGAATGGTGACACTTGAGAGGCTCTCTCTCTCTCTCTCTTTCTCTCATCTAGCAAAATGATGAGGGTGGGACAAGCTTTCCGGAGCATGCATAACGGTTGTCCACAAGGCCGGTTCATTTCCGGTACCGCGGACGACCTTCGCGCGGAATCGGACACGCACATGACCAACTACGATATACATACGAATATATACATATGTACATATATATATATATATTTGCAAACCGGCGCAGCTAAAAGACGACAGACAGACCTAGAATGTTCTCTTTTGGGTGAACAGTGGTTGCCTTGGTAGCCGCGCGGCCTCTATGAAAAGTCATCCCGATATGACGCATACAATTCAAAACATATAGGAGAGAGAAAGAGAGAGAGGAAATTAGTCAGCAAGTTGGAAACAGAGAAAGGTTTATCGGTGGGGGTGAAAGGCTTTATGACGACGAGAGGGAGAGAAGGCGATAGAAAGGAAGGGGGAGAGAGATTTTTAAGAGAAACGCGAGGTCTTTAAGTATTTACGCATTCCACTGTTTGAAGTACATTGGAAAGGGTTTAAGAGCAAGATTCCCTTTTCTCAAACTCAAAATTATTTTGCGATAATTAATTAAAACATCAATACAATTTCATTTAATGTATTTAACAATATTTATAGGCATAATTCATAAACTTTGATAAAATCCAAAGGAATATGTTAAATAATATTTCGTTATTATAGAAAAAGGAATTATAAAATACAATAAAACAATGAATCATTAAGCTGAATGTTTGAAAATTTAATCGCGCACACATTTCTTCAGGAATAATCGAACTTTATAGGAAATAAATCCTTTTGTACGTGTGTATATAATTTGAAATCATATTACACCATAAACGTAAATGTTCCGCGCGCACTTCTAGATTTAATGCATATGCGGTACAATAATCAGATTTAAAATACATTCATTAAAATACCACCAAAGTGAAAATAATTATATGAACGTTTCTCCCTAACATCAAAATGTTTAATAAATCCTCAAATTCATGATATGCATACAAAACTAGCTTGGGAAAGGATTAAACTTTCAATATATATATATATAGGTTTCATTCATGATGCATCGCGTCATAGAAAACACAAACTTGGACAACAAGTACATCCCATTATTTAGAAGTGAATTTTATTTTCAAAAAAGTTGTTTTAACTTTACTATCCTTCTTTGATGTCTTTTAAATCTTAATAATCCTCTTAAGTATAGGTGCCAAAATAGTTTCGGTGGTTGAAAATTTCTTCTGAAGACGAAGCCAATTTTGCTTTTGATCTTTTGCATACGCAATGACTCGATTTAGATATATACAGGTAAAAAGAACATACAAACACATGCGTACAAAATTCTACATTATAAATTTGCAACAGACAAATAAAGAATTAACGAGATTGATAAAGAAAGATGATACTGAGCTGAGAGAAAAGTAAAAGAGAATTAAAGAATTTAACATCTATTATATTTCTCAAATAAAATGAAAAATACAAATTTGTATCCCACTTATGGTATTCGATTATCCACTTATCAGCCCATAAAAAGTTGATCCCGTTTCTGATTGAAATAAGTGATTCAGGAAACTCTAAATAACACTTGTCAAAGATACATATAAACTTGTTCCTTTCGTAATTATGGAAAAATTCTAACTATTACCAGAAGAAGAAACTTAAAGTTACAATTGCAACAAAGTATACGGTAATTTATCTATAATGATAAGGTGCAAACTAGATATATAGGGAATAGATCTCGTAAATAAGAATTGGATTCACGCCTTTTCGTGTTCACGTTGGTTATAAAATTATTACCTTAGTTTTTCTGAATTATACAATTTTATGCATTTATAGAAAAATTTCTTCCTATTTGAACTATTATTATTATTATTATTATTATTATTATTATTCGAAATTAAGTCGAATCAAACATTTGGATGTAAATTATTTATGTGAAAATTTTTTTGGAGGGTTGTTAAAAGTCGGTCGACTTTGGTAGAAACAGGAGAGTGTCTCTTATGAATCAGGAGTGAAGATTGAAGACGGTTGCCGGAACCTGTTCTCGTCGTTTTTATCGATTAATAAAATAAATAGATAATCGCAGGACCTGCATTCCTGTCAGGCCACCTCCCCAGCATCCAACTTGACTTGCTTGCTTGTTGATTCGTTGGTTTTGTGCGTTCACAGTCTTATTTTGCTGCTGTGGTGAGCTTAAGACTTGGAACTTTGAGTCTTTCCTCCAGTCACAATGGCTATCTGGTTTGGGCGTTGCTCTATACCTCTTTCAACTTCTTCCTCGACAGAGATTTCTTTAAACACAGGTTACACGTACAATCACCTTTAGGTGCGTTCATCCCGCCACAGTCCAAATTCTTTAAAATACATATATTCTCTATCTCTCTCTCTCTCTCTTGCGGCAAGTGTAATTTTGCCGAGAAATTCTTTGCAATTATTCATATACCTGATTTTTTGGAAAAGCATTTCGTTTCAAGAATAATATTGGAATGTTTTTCAAACATTTTTAGATCTCCTTAGACGGTAATATAAGAAATATTTTCACAAATTCCAATGCTCATGTTCTTTTGGAATTTAAAGAATTCATTCTTCATGTGAAAACATTTTTTTCGCAATTTTAAATCTTCTCTCTTAATTCTTAGGAGGTACTACTTGCGGATTGAGGAGAGATATAAAAACCGAAAAGATTTTATTACCGAAAAGAAAGGTTTTTTTTTTTATCATATACATAGAGTGGATTACCTGCTACTCGGTAAAGATCTTTTGTTCGATAAGAAGCGTGAGACCAAAGTATTGTGCTTTAAATTCTTACGACTTGATCCGCGTACAAATCGACGCTTTCCTTTGTCCAATGAAACACACACATTGCGCCAGCAGAAAGCCTCTCCATATACTTATTTAGTTTTATCGCATTCGATATACATGTTCATTGTATGTTTAGCTTTTGAACATTTTTATTTTACCTTATCCAATATTGACAAACATTTATTTCCACTACGCTGTACAGTTTATCTCTTTTTTTACATTATCCATTTTCAATATATACAATTGAAATTTGATTTTGGAACTTAACCCTAAAAAAATTGATATCTGAACAGAATAATTTCCTTGTTAAAATAATAGTTTAGAATACTACAAGAAGCTCTTTTACTTTTTTCTGGCTTATTTTCTTTTATTAACTAACCAAAGTAAATTTTAGTTAGCAGTGTAAATTCTCTGTGGTAAATTATGGAATTAAGATGAAAATTAAAATTTGGAACATTCTCTTTTTTTTGGAGAGTATAATCCAACCCTGATATATGGACCAACTCTAGGGAGATTAAGTTAAGGTGAGCAGGTTTTCTGAGAAAAGGACTTAAGTAAAATAAAGCTCTCTTCTTATTCTTTCTTTCTCATGATCTCTCTCATCTCTCTACCGGAGGTCTACGTTTTTGGAAGCGGCCGTATATATACTAACTCAGTCGAGTAATAGTCGCGGTCGGTCTCGCAGTAGTCGCACAGCCTCCTCTTCCCAGGCCGGTGGTAAGGTCAAGGCCCTCTGCGCCCTACCCTTATGCACCTTGGGGTCACGTGACATGGCTCAAGGTCTCCTATCCCCACCACCTTTTACACAAGCACTCCTCTCGCACACAACTAGTGTAAAGCCGCGTATATAGAGTTGAGTCAGACACTGCGGATCGTCGACCACTAAAGAGTTTATATAGACTATATCTGATGAGTCGAGGATTGCATCTCTCATCATAAAAAAAAAAATAATAATTCCCTTCTCTCAAAAGATTGTTCTTATTACCCAAAATCCTTTCTTTTGTTTAAAAATTATTTTTGATTACAATCTGTCTTGGTTGGTTCATTGCTCAGAAGATGGCAGCACTACATTTTGCGATTCAACACAGCTATTAGAAAATAGGTTGAAACTTCTAGATCCCTTTTTGCAAATGTAAATGTAGGATTAGTAGAATAGTAGTATTCTTTTTTTTCTATAAATACAAT